AGAAGAGAAGACATATCTTCGATGAAAAACAGGGCAAGCATCTGGAACCTGGTTCTTTCCATTCCATTGCTTGTGTCAAATTCATCTGGGTTAACTTCTAACTTATCTTTTTAACACACACTTAGATAGTGCTTACTATATGCCTGAAACTAGTATAAACATCTTACAAACATTAACTCACCCAATCTTCCTAACAACCCTTTGACTTAAGCACGCTTACTACTCCCATTCTACAGATTAGGAAACTGGGGCTTGAGAGGCTAATGACTTATCCAAAGTCAAACATATAATAAATATAAGCCTAAATTCAAGCCCAGCCGTTTTGATTATAGGGCAAATCGTAAATACTAAGCGATATAGCAGACAACTATATCCCAATTCCAAAGATTTGATCCGGTAAATCTGAGGAAAGGACTGAGAAATCAATACATATATGAACAAAATTTTCAGATGATTTTACATAGTTAGAAGGGCACCCACCTACCATAGTATGTGGGAACCACAGCACTATTCCACACTTCATTTGGGAAAGACAGAGAGGAGACTTATATGACTAGAAACAATTGTGTGTTGCAATATACCAAGAAAGCAAGGGAAGACAATGGTTGGGGAACCATCATTCAAAACCTTGGAAGGGAGGGTAATAATACTTTATGCTTTTATAAAAAGGTCAACAGTGAATTATGTACTGTTAAACAGAATGAAATATATTAAGAATGCAGCACCAGAGCAAGAGTATAACAGCATTAATAAACATGAAATTATCTTACCAGGTAGGGTGCATGACAGCAATGGACTTAAATGAAAGAAGGAAGAAGAGCCTAGTTCATTCTGTGGTGGGCTGCACATGGTCAGTCCTGAACCAGTCACACAAGACAAATGATACCAGAATGTTATTTTAAGCAGTGTAGGAATTATAGCAGTTGAGGGAGGAAATAGAAACAATTGGTATACATGAAAAAAAAAGATAAAATGTGAAAGAACTTTGAAAACAGTTTCTCACCACACAAATATGACTACCACTACTTTGTTAAGTAGTATGCCACCTTGAGAGGCCCCCAGAAATTAAAAAAAAAAAAACAAAAAAAAAACACACACACACACAAAATATCCAAGCCAAGCACAGCCATAAGCAACAACCCACCACCAAAAGCGGGTAAGCAGCTATAGACTGGCCTGCGGTATTTCTGACCACTCAGTATGGACAAAATCATGGATCAAAGAGTCAACTCAAAGCGGAGCTAGAACTCCCACCCTGCCGCCGCTGCTACCGACCACGGAGTTCGAGGAAGAACAACATACTGGGAAGCTCGGTCTCTAGCTATACAGAAAAGCCACAACTCTGCCTCCGAGCATGAACTAAAATAACACCCCATGTGTCAGGAGAGGTGTGCTCCCAGGTTCCCACCAGCTTAACTGTATTTAACCCTAAAGGTTGTGGGGAATGCAACCAGGAGTTGAGTTACAAGAATGCCAAATTTTAGTTTTTTAATTAATACAATAGTTGGTAATAAAACTGTTAAACACTGGGCGCCTGGGTGGCTCTGTCAGTTGGTCTGCCTGTGGCTCAGGTCATGATCCTAGGGTCCTGGGATCAATCCCCCATCAGGCTGCTTGCTTGGCAAGGAGTCAGCTTCTCCCTCTACTCCTTCCCCCTGCTTGTGCTCTCTCTCTCTGTCTCTCTCATGCTCTCTCTCTCTCAAATAAAGAAATAAAATCTTTTAAAAATTGTTAAATATTATTATCTTGTGCTAATGTACTTTGCCAAAATTTTAATGCATTTCATAGCTTCTTTTCAGGCCCAGGTATTATAAAGCAGGTAAATAAAATCTACCTTCATCAAATCTTGTCCAGTTTGCTCCATTTCCCCAAGTCTTGCCTTTCACTCTGCTCCTTCACATTCTGGAATAAAGCGACACTGTACTTGGAACCCTCTTTTTTCTTGCAAAACAAGATTCATCCCATTACCTTGCATTCTCCACTACTCTTGCCTCTAATGAGATCTCTGCTACCATACTAATTATAACTTTTAAGCAATTTAATAACTTCTATTTCATAGAACTGGAGGTAGGTAATTGAGAACTGTCATATGCAAATATTTTAGCAGATAAATAATGCTCATAAGTAACATAACAAAATACAACTATCTACAGCCAATCACATCCTTTTACACCTTCTGAAAATGGCAAACAGGAGGTGAGTTAAAAGAATGCCAAATTTTAGTTTTTTTAGTTAATATAATAGTTGGTAATAAGATTGTTAAAAATTGGGCATCTGGGTAGCTCAGTCAGTTAGTCTGCCTTTGGCTTAGGTCATGATCCTAGGGCCCTGGGATCAATCCCATATTTTGCTCCCTGCTCAGCGGGGAGCCTGCTTCTCCCTCTGCCACTCCCCCTGCTTGTGCCCACACTCTCTCTCTCTCTGTGTCAAATAAAAAATCAAATCTTAAAAAATAAACAAATAAAACCTTTTTTAAAAAGACCCAAAAGGACATCCATTCTAAAGTGTATAAAAACAAGAAGCAAAAGTATATAAAATTAAAATTATGTTTCTACTAATCAGTGTTTCCGTATTCAATTTTTAAAAATAAGTTATCTACTTACCTAATGATTAATCATTAAATAACCTAATTTCTTATCTCAGGATTTCAAGTTACCTAAGGATTTTGGAGTTATGCATAAACTTACATGATACAGAACATAACTACTGTTGATATAAAAAGTCTGTCTGAATAATTACTCATTTTAGTGGATATAAATTTACATTTTTCATAAATTTCCATATTTTATAGCCATAATGCCAGCTTATTTAATCAGTAAATCAATATAAGCAGCTTAGGAAATTCAGATTAGCTAATCTCTTCATAAAAGACAAATTTAAATGTCATTAAAAAATGTATCTGTATTTTATTTATCATTGACAAATCAGCACAAAGACATATAAGTGCTTTTTTCTTTCTTAAACCAAAATTTTTAATCTAACTTGATTTCTCCACAGACTCACCTTAATTATATAAATTTATATTTTTCAAATTTATCTAAGCTAGCAGTTTTTCTAAGAAGAAATTTTTTCCATAATAGTCCAGCACATGAGGAATTTGAGAGGCAGGGTGGGGGGTCATGGGGGAAGGGAAGGAAAAAATGAAACAAGATGGGACCAGGGAGGGAGACAAACCATAAGAGACTCTTAATCTCAAGAAACAAACTGAGGGTTGCTGGGGGGGCCGGGGGGAGGGATAGGGTGGGTGGGTTATGGACATTGGGGAGGATATGTACTAATGAGTTCTGCGAACTGTTTTAAGACTGGTGATTCACAGATCTGTACCTCTGAAGCAAATAATACATTACACGTTAATAAAAATAAATAAAAAGTAAAAACAATGTACTGTCAAGCAAAAAAAAAAAAGTCCAACACATATTAAATACTAGAAATTTGGGGCTTTTTAAAATTTGGGGATTTATCCAAGGGCACATTTATGTCTATAGACCAATCAGAACAGAAGTTCTTTAATTTAAGAGACATTATAATGGAATTTATTAATACCCTTCAGAAGTATGAAAACATTTTACACTCAGATAGCAACATATAAAGGCTATTTTTAAATTATAGTCATATGGTCACATAGAGAGCTTATAGCTCCAGTTTTACATCTATCTTGGGTTGAAAGTACAACAGAAATACAAACATTAATCAGCCCAAAAGTCAAAAATCCAGTTTTTCTTCCCAGTGGACACAAAGTTCTTAATTAATTTGAGCTCACAAAGGACAAACAAAAAGAACAAAAAACTGGATTCTCTTCATCTCTCTTCTAATAGAAACTAAATACCCAACATGCAATAGGTATCATCAAATGGACATACATGAAACCAAATTCATCATGGCTATTAGTAATGTGTAATAATTTATCAGGCATCCATACATTAGAAACAAAAACAAAACTTTAAAAGATGAGCAAAAAGGGAAAGTAAACAGAAAATTAGTTCTATAACCACTTCTGGATTTATTCCAAGAGCCAGTAAAAGATACGCCTGGGCTTAGGCAACCCCGAGGTGCCCTCTCCATCATGTGAGCACACACCCGCCGGCACCTGCTCTGAACCCCGAGATGCCCACGCTCAAGTACGGGGCCCGACAGTATACCCGAAATCACGGGTCTCACAAGTACAACACGCCGAAGTTTTATTCAGTCCATTAGTTAACGAACAGATAAGACGTCAAAACCAAACAGCTTATGAGACACTAAGCATATATTCATGAAGACATCGTTAGAATCGCAGAGTTAGTTACAAACTGAACAAGAAATCACAATCCCACCAGATAGAAACTGTTTGCATCTCCGACGCATCAAAACCTACAAGTTATCACATGCTCCCGCCGAACGGGAAAACAGCCCCGTCAGGGAGAGTCGAGTCCGGAAAAGACATAAAAGAACCCAGCAATCTCCTCGTTACCAAGTTTGGATGATGATTCTCATCGGAGTGAGATATTGCAAATATTGCATGGAAAACACTTACATTAAAAATTTATTCATTTATCTGAAAGTCACATTTAACTGTCCACCCTGTATTTATCTTTTGAGCCCAATAAGAAGTTAACAAAAATTTTACAAACCCGTGCGGTTCGGTTGCCAACAATGTATCTCTTCCATCAGGGCCCGGCGGTGCATCCTTCCTTGCCCAGATCATCGCGGTACTTTCCGCCCCGCTTCCATTCTTCCCGCTTACCACTGGAGGGCGCACGTGACGCACAGTCTAATGGGTTCCCGGACGCGCGGAGGCCGCAGGAGCGTTTCTGCGTTGGCTCCACTAGGGGACCCTTCGGAAATCTCTCGAATCGCCCACCCGGGATCACGCGCTCCCCGAGCATCTGTGCGCACGCGCACAACTCGGGCACGCTCCTTCGGATTGCGCAGCCGCTCTCGCTGAGACTGATGGGAGAGAGAGAGGGAGGGCGGGGCCTCGGGAGCGCGCACGCGCGGAGGCCAAGGCCTAGCGGGAGCGGGCGCCGGTGCGGGCCGGGAGGCTCGCGTTCCCCGCGCGGTGGAGATGCCCAGCGGCGGGGGGCGGCCCGAGGACGGCGCGGGGCTGCGCTCTGCGGACGCCTCGGCGCTGCGCAAGGACGACCTCGGCAGTAGGGTGAGTGAGGCCCGGACCGGCCGCTCGGCCCCGCCGCTCGCCCCTCAGTCGTCGTGTTCGGCGGCGCGTTAAGCGGAGACCGTGAAGTTCGGCCCGGTTAGACGCGGGCGGCGCGGGCACCGAGGCGTGCCTGGGTCTTTGCCGGCAGCGCCCCGCACCCGACCCGTGACCTCGCACCCCGACCTTCGGCGCGGCCCGGCGGCCGCGCTGTGTCGGTCGCGAAGACCCGTCGGGTCCGTGTGTGAAGCGCCGTCGACGAGCCCGTCAGTCCGCGCACCCGCACCCGGGCCTCCCCGCCCCGCCTGCCGCCGCCCGCGCCCGCCTCGCCCGCGCGGGTCCTGCCGCGCTCGGTCGCGGGCTGCCTGCGGAGGGGCGGGGAGGCCCGGGTGCGGGTGCGCGGCCGCCCGCAGACAGACGCTCCGGCACGCGCTGGGCACCGCCGTGCGACCGCCTTTCGGCTGCGAGCGGCCTGCGGTGCGGTTCGGCCCGGTCCCGGGCAGCGACCGGTCCGCCAAGCCCGGGCCCCTCGGGGTCGTCCCCTCGTTAAAGGGACGAGCGCGCCCGCCGGCTCAGGGGGACGGGTCTGTCCGACGCGGGTCCGAAGGCGCCCACACGGGTTCGTCCGGGAGTTCAGTGGCCGGTCAGTGCGCCCACCGCGGGGACGGTCGCGCCCACCGCGGGGACGGTCGCGCCCGCGGGGACTCCGCCTCCGAGCGCAGCAGCCGGCCCCAGCCCCGCCGGAACGAGCGTTTCTGCCGACGGACGAGGGTCTCCGACGGGCGCGGGGCGGACTGCGATCGCAGACCCGCCGCTACGGGAGAGCGTGGGGACTGTTGCTCGCACGTGGTCGCGCCGCGGGCCCGGTCCTGCTGGGAAGACGCGGCCGCCGCGGGGCCGGCCCCGTTCTGCCTCGGAGACAACAGGAGCAAAGCCGAGAAGGAAAGCGATCGGCCTCGTGGCCCCATGGAGGGCGTTTGCACGACCTACTCGTGCTCAGCACGTGGCTCCGCTCTTTCTACATAAATCACGAAAACCATTGCTAGGCCATGACACGTGCTACTTTTGTAAAAAAGCAAAAGCGTGACTTGAAAGAAGTCATTGAAAACGGATACTACTTTTGATGCATATTGTCTGTTTTAAACAAAAAGCACAGACTTTGTTGAGTAACTGGGGCCCTTGCCTGAGTGCTGGTGACCCTCACCAAACCCCCCGTCTGGGCTCAGTGGGCTCTCGAACACCTGTCAAGTGTAGTCGCGGTTTCCTCTCCCGGCTTTCCCCAGCGCAGCCCACACGCTGCTGTTCAAAAAGAATCCGTGTGTTTGCAGACTGCCCATTTGCCCAACCGGCAAATTAGAGCCCCTTATCCCATCTCTCCAAGTTTAAAAGGCCCTCAGTTGAGCACACTTTGCTAGCCTCTGATTTAAGAAGTTTTTCTTTATTTCAATAGATTAAAGAACAAAAAGTTGTCGTGGATGAACTTTCTAACCTGAAGAAGAACAGGGTGAGTTATGAGGATAATTCTGAATTGTAAGTGGGAAGGTTTGGTTATATTTTTTTAACTATACACTAAAGTAAAAAAGAATTATATGTAAGATTTATATTTGCATTAAATTTTGCAAGATCTCAGCATCTTTTTTTATTTACATTGCTGAAGTGTAAAGTGCCCAAGATTTTATACACATATGTGGATGTCTGTGTTGATGATAGTTGATAATGTTGTCTTCCCATCATATGAAACTTGCAGTACCTTTGAACCAAACGATATTAATTATACAGTGGTATCTTGGATCTGTAATCACTAATGGCATTGACTTTTACTTGAATTTGGTGTTTTCTTTTGAAGTGAATAACTTTTAAATATATTAAGAAAGGAAACCATGCCTTTAAGTGATTATGGATAATTGTTGAAAAAACAAAAAGGATAAATTGCTTCCCCCTACCTGAAATTATTTTACACAAGTCTTCCATATATTTAACATGGTTATTTAATGTCATGTGCATTAATGTATTCATAAACAAGCAAGCTACTGCTTTATGTTTAGTTATATTGTCAGAAATTACATTTTAAAGTTCAGGAAGAAATTATTTTGAGCCCTTTAAAGCCTTTGATAACTAACAGGTTGTTTAACGTTTCTGGTATTGTTCCTTTTGGAATTTTAGAATTTAAGTCACAACTGATACAAACTTTCTAGAGGACAAGTTGGCAGAATGTATCAAAACCTTAAAACTTTGTAGCACTTTGACCCAGTTCCATTTATAGTAATTGAGTGAACAAAGATTTAGTTACAAAAACTTCATTGCAACATTGATTTATAAAGTTGGTAATGTCTTAAAGGTCTAAAACTTGAGGACTTATGGGATAAACTATAGTGTTATACCCATACAGTAATGTAAAAGAATACTTATTGATAAGGAAAAGTATTCCCAATATATTGTTCATTGATAAAAGCAAATAATAAATCTATTTATAATAAGAGCCTTTCTGTTCAAGGAAACTGATAGTTTGATATATGCAGAGAAAAAACATTTCAGCTCAGTGTTAATGGTAGCAGTTTCTAGGTGGTAAAATAATGGATGACTTTTATTTACCTATATTTACTAAGGTATTCTGAATATATGTTACTGAAGTTCAAGAATATGCAATAAAAGTGTACAGAGTTTTGACATACACTTTTTAGATCCAATCCTGATATTAGTCTAAATTGTGTTTTGCAGAAAGTATATAGGCAGCAACAGAACAGCAACATATTCTTTCTTGCAGACCGAACAGAAATGCTTTCTGAAAGCAAAAGTAAGTTTTTTTGGTATATTATATAGAAATGCATGAAAAGCCTTTTCAGAGTTTTCTGTAGAAACTCATGATAGTGCCTAAATTATGCTGTCTACATCTGAATGCTCAAATATATATCTGAAGATCGGATGGCAGTATGTTAGATGAAATTAATGCTGTGGTCTGGTTTTTCTTTAAGTTAGCCTTCCAAAGATGGAAGTCTACAGTAAAAAAATAAAAATATATAAGATGTGTTAGAAAGCCATAATTATTAATGTCTGCTTTAGAATTTTTTTGGCAGATCTAGGTAAGAAAACTGCTCTGCCACTTTCTCCCTTTGTAACTTTGAGTGAATTACTTTGAGCCTCCAAAGTTTTTTGGGATTTAAACAAGAAGGAATAGATAAAATTTATATAGCCCAGTGCCTGGGCCAAAATAAGCATTTAATAAACAGAAGTTATTTTCCTAAAAGATAGACATCTGTCGTTAGAAGCCTTTTGAATGCAGTGCCTGTACTCTAGTGGTTTGATCTTGGTAATTGTTGCTCTATGAATTACTAGGGAAAGGTCTGAGAATTTTCATTGTACTTAATATTTCTTCTCCCCTCCCCCACAGTTATACTGGATGAACTGAAAAAAGAATACCAAGAATTAGAAAACTCTGAGAAGACCAAAATCAAGAAAGAGTCAACTTGATTTCACATAACAATGTGTGGCATTTGTTGTTCTGTGAGCTTTTCTGTTGAGCATTTCAGCAAAGATTTGAAAGAGAATTTACTGTATAATCTTAGCCGACGGGGACCCAGTAGTAGTAAACAGTTGTTAAAGTCCAGTGTTAGCTACCAGTGTGTGTTTTCTGGGCATGTCCTTCACTTAAGAGGTGTTTTAACTGCCCAGCCTGTGGAAGGTGAAAGGGGCGATGTTTTCCTGTGGAATGGAGAAGTCTTCAGTGGCATAAAGGTGGAAGCTGAAGAGAATGATACTCAAATAATGTTTAATTACCTTTCCTCCTGTAAGAATGAATCTGATATTTTGTCACTCTTCTCAGAAGTCCAAGGTCCTTGGTCTTTTATATATTACCAAGCGTCTAGTCATCATCTGTGGTTTGGTAGAGACTTTTTTGGTCGCCGTAGCCTGCTTTGGCATTTTAGTAATTTGGACAAGAGTTTCTGCCTCTCTTCAGTTGGCCCACAGACATCCGGAGTGGCCAGTCAGTGGCAAGAAGTTCCAGCATCTGGAATTTTCAGAATTGATCTCAAGTCTGCTTCCATTTCCGAATCTGTGGTTTTAAAATTGTACCCTTGGCAATCTGTTTCTGGGGAGAATGTTATCAAGGAGTGTGTTAATAGCCTAATTCAGGTTTCAGCAGACTTGCCAACATTTGTATCAGCGGTAGCAAATGAAGCCGGACTACATCTGAAGGAACCTGTTGTTCCTTTAAATAGGACGTTGCGGCAAGCTCCCCTTGAGATCTCTCGCGGAACCGTCGCCAGTGTCCCTCCTACAAGGGAAACGCTTCAGATGTTTCTTACTGACGGACACATGAAGGAAGTCGTTCAGCAGTTCCTCGAGGTCCTGAGTCTCGCGGTACAGAGACGTGTCTCGTGCTTACCCAGGGATGCAAACCTGACCCCCAGTGTGGCTTTGGAAACGGGTGCCAGGAGAGCAAACGTCGCGGTCCTGTTTTCGGGGGGTGTCGATTCCATGGTTCTTGCAGCCCTTGCGGACCTCCACGTACCCCTGGATGAACCCATTGATCTTCTTAACGTGGCTTTTGAGACTAAAGAGAAGACCATATTAGCTGGTTTTAACCATAAGAGGAAAAACCAGAAAAGTCATTATGAAACACCTTCCGAAGAATCCTCTGGAGATAATGCTGCTGGCAGCGGGAACGGGGGCGCTGACAGACGATTCGGTGTGCCAGATCGGGTTACAGGAAGAGCGGGACTAAAGGAGCTACAAGCCGCTAACCCTTACCGGATTTGGAATTTCATTGAAATTAATGTTTCTCTGGAGGAGCTGCAAGAATTAAGAAGAGCTCGAATACGCCACTTGGTTCAGCCGTTGGATACAGTGCTGGACGACAGCATTGGCTGCGCAGTCTGGTTTGCTGCGAGAGGAGCTGGTTGGTTAGTGGCCCGCGGCGACGTGGGATCCTATCAGAGCAGTGCAAAGGTACGGGACGGCAGGCACACTGGACTCGGAATTTCCGAGACCTGATTTGGACCCTTTGAAGCTACTAACATGGTGGCAAGGATATAGCATATCTTAATTGCATTTAATCAACAGTGCTATGTGTAAGACTTTTTAAAAATTGGGCATATTTGACTATTTTATGACTTCCCTTGTTTTTGTCAGAAAATATGTTTGAGATAACTTTTAAAGCTTTGCTTTTATTTTAGTTATTTCCTTTATCTCATACTGGGAGTATGGCTTTCCTTAAACCATCACAGGTGGTTCTTTCTGGAATTGGTGCTGATGAGCAGCTTGCGGGTTATTCTCGCCATCGTGTCCGCTTTCAGACACACGGAATGGAAGGATTAATTAAGGAACTTGAGATGGAACTGGGACGAATATCTTCTAGAAACCTTGGTCGTGATGACAGAGTTATTGGTGATCACGGAAAAGAAGCAAGGTAATTCTGCTCATGTGCGTGCTGTGGGTAGTTCTGTAGAAACACTAGACTGTAAGAAGATTTTCACGTTCCTTCTCTTTGGAGACTGTTCACACGAATCGCAGTAGAAACAATAATGTCTCGGCCTCTGTCACAAACACTGTCCATCAGAGGGAAAGCTGGGGAGCTGTCGGGGAGCAGTTGTTTTCCAGAACTCATTGTCTAAGAAATGTCTTTTTGGTCATTTTCAAAGATAATACGACGACGTGATTGTTTTCCATGTTACGTGGGAAAGACTGTAAAAACTGAGGTAATGAAATGCTAGAGAGGGTATTTTTAAAGGGTTGGGTTTTGTTTCAAATGTTTGCTTTCATCCCAGTAAGAGCATAGGCCCTATTCCCACGCTTTCCCCTCCAGTGTGAGGGCACCGGGCTTTGTCACCATGGACATTCTGTGTGTAGAAATCCACACCCACCTCTCGTCGGACTCAGTCTGGTCGGACGTTGCAGATTCCCTAAAAGTGTCAGAGACATCGGGGCACTTTCATATGTATATTCTTTTTTTAATTCAGGGATTTATTTTTACCTCCAATGAATGTCTGATGGCAGGCAGTAAACAAATGCTTGAAGACAACTTTAATAAATTATTAAGGATAAAGAAAGGTATTGTTTAGTTACAAAAAGCAGAAGTTTGTTCAAGTAGGTTAATTAGGTGGTAGTTTATTACAAGTGTGTAAGCGTGTGAGAACAGAGTCCAGTAAGCTTTGTGAGAACTGGAACATCATAGTACAACACTCTAACACTTCACTCTTCACACTACTTCAGCTTTTCAGTATATATAGAAAATGTGTAAATTCTGTATATATCGACTCTACATATATATGTACATAATTTATAATATTACCATAATATAAAAACTATAAAATGTTTTTCTTTTGAAGGGTGTATGTATTTGAGAGAGAGACAAATTCAGTCTTTATTTCAGATAGGTCATAGAAAAGAATTTATTCTATTTAGTAAAACTTAATTCTAAAGGCCCCATATGATACCCTCATATGAAGAAAGTTTGAAACAACGAGTACAGACTTGTGCTTTAACAAATATGATAGTGGCTGGATCTAAATAATTCATTAATTATGTATCTTGGCATATATATTAACAGTGATCAATTAGATTATCTTATAGAGAGAGATGTTTTTGCAATTGATTCACTTTTATAAAATATTCCATGTAACAAGTGCCTTTACCCTTTCCGGTCTCTCTGTGTAAGCTAGAATAAGATACAATAAAACAGAAACATTAATGTAACAGTATTGCATTTAAAGAATTAGAGGGAGAGTTTCAAAGTATTTTAAACAAAAACGAGCATTTTATAGGAAGCTAGGGAAACCAAGAGGCAGAAAGTTTTTTTTTTTCAATCTAATACTTCGTTCTGTTACACCATTTGTCTCCATTTAAAGGGCATTCATGCAATCAATTTTTTAGAAGATTTATTTATTTCAGAGAGAGAGCATGAGCAGGGGAGAGGCAGAGGGAGAGGGAATCCTCAAGCAGACTCCCTGCTAAGCTTGGAGCCTCCCAAGGGGCTCAGTCCCCCAACCAACCACGCGATCATCCTGAGCCAAAACCAAGAATCAGACACATAACTGTGTTACCCAGGCACCCCAATTTTATTTTAAGATTTATTTATTTCAGGGAAAGAGTGTGTGCAGGAGTGCGAACAGGGGAAAGGTGGAGGGAGAGGGAAAGCAGACTCCCTGAGGAGCACAGAGCCAGACTCAGGGCTCTATCCCTGACTGGGAGATCATGACCTGTGCTGAAACCAAGAGTCAGATGCTCAACTGACTGAGCCACCCAGGGGCCCCTAAATCATTTTGATGCCATAAAATTTTACCCTAAGTAAATGTTTCACAAGTTCAGGATTATAGAGCCCTTCTATATTGATTTCATACCTCTAAAGTTAGTTTTCTTTTGACGTGATAGCACACAGATTGAGTAATTGAGTCAAGACTGTACTTGTGGGACACCTGGGTGGCTCAGTCGGTTAAGCCTCTGCCTTCAGCTCAGGTCATGATCCCAGAGTCCTGGGATCCAGTCCTGCATCAGGTTTCCTGCTCAGCAGGGAGCCTGCTTGTTCTTGTCCCAGCACCCCCCATGCCCCCCCATCCCCGCTCGGGCTCTCTCTCAAATAAATAAATCGTAAAAGAAAAAAGAAAAGACTACTTATTTTCAAGGCATCCCCAAAGAAACCTTGTGAAACAGTTTGAGATTATTTCTTACCATAGGCCTAACTTATTTTTTGAGGCAGAATTTAATTTATTTTGTAGCCTATGTTTTAAAATTAGTCACATGAAATATTTGTTAATGTGATTAAGTTTTAGCCATAAAATTGTGTAAATAACCAGAATATTTTTAATTGAGAAAAACAGTGCCATCAAAAATTAATTTGATGTTGGGGCACCTGGGTGGCTCAGTGGGTTAAAGCCTCTGCCTTCGGCTCAGATCATGATCCCAGAGTCCTGGGATCAAGCCCCACATCGGGCTCTCTGCTCTGCAAGGAGCCTGCTTCCTCCTCTCTCTCTCTGCCTGCCTCTCTGCCTACTTGTGATCTCTGTCTGTCAAATAAATAAATAAAATCTTAAAAAAAAATTGATGCTATAAATTTTAACGTTGAATAAAACGTAAAAGAAAAATCATAACTTTTTTTAATACTTACGTGATTATATTTATGGTTCTATTTATCTGTTTATTTTAGATTTCCTTTTCTGGATGAAAATGTTGTCTCCTTTCTAAATTCCCTACCAGTTTGGGAAAAGGCAGACTTGACTTTGCCCCGTGGAATTGGTGAAAAACTAATTTTGCGTCTTGCAGCAGTGGAACTTGGCTTAACAACCTGTGCTCTCCTGCCAAAGCGGGCCATGCAGTTCGGATCAAGAATTGCAAAAATGGAAAAGAATCATGAAAAGGCATCTGATAAATGTAAAAGACTCCAAGTCGTTTCCTTAGAAAACCTTTCTAGTGAAAAGGAGATGAAAGCATAATCCTTCAGCATGTTAACATTTACTGAATGATGATTATATAAAAAGAAAACACTCTGCTGTCCTTTTATTAAATAATGCAATGGTATGAAGGTTCATTACATGAATTTTTACTTAGCTATAACTTAATATAACCAACTGAGTCAGATTGACACTGGAGAAAAAGAATACTTGAACAACTTGGATGTTTGAAGCTGTGACACTAACATCACGCTGAGCTCTTACATGGTAACGTCCCACGGGCAACATTAAAAGAAAGCAGCTTTTACCAACTCTTTTCTTGGTAGCTACACCCAGAAATAACTCAATTTGTTGTGGTCATGGGCCTGGTTAAACAGGGCTCTCTGACAGATGAGAAAACTAAGGTTTAGAGAGGCTGAACAATTTGCTTGAGGTTCGCACTCCTGGCAACACTGGTTAGTTCTGTTACATCTCTTTAGGCAGCTGATTTTCCCACTCAGAACTTCTGATGGTTTTTAGCGTTCTCCGGTCCCCCAAATCTCTAGCCTCCCTCTCTTGGCCTCATTCTCAGCTCATGACCTGAGCTTTTCACAGAGAATCAGAGTCATCGGGACAGGAAATGCCTCCACTCGCCAACACCAGAACTTCTACCTCACCTGTAGGTACACCCATCCTTTTCTCCCTTCTGGTTATTAGAAAGGGAGATGCGTCCACCCACCCATCGGATGGCTGTGTGGCCACCTGTTCTCCGTATCCCAACCCTTCTTGCCTTACAGGACCCTTATGCTCCTCTCTCCAGTATCTTCAGCCTCTTCTCTGTAGGATCCTTCCTACCATCATTTAAGGTGTTCTCGTCTACCCAACTTCAAACGCACATATGTGGTTCTGTATCTTCCTCTGCTTGTCACCTCAAGCCTCCCATCCACACTCACCATCTCCACTGTGTCATCTCCACTCCAGCCTGACATCCACCTGCATGAGCTACGACCACCATACCAAGGTCATGGGTCCATCCCCAATTAGAGCTGACATCCTTCCTGGATCTGGACACGTTTTGATTCTTTTCATCTTGGTGGGAAAGCAGTTTTAGGATACTGACAAACAGAGGCCTGTCAGAGACTTCCACATGCCCTGAATTTATCCCCTGGGAAAAACCATATTTAGATACTAACCTTAACAGCTTTCATCCCTCTACGTGAGGGCAGACAACTTCAAGTGTCTGTGTGATCCTGAGCATCCAAATTGACTAACAGCTTTGCCCAGCAGCCTAGATTGAATATAATGAAGTAACCGTAGAGTTCAACACTAAAACATCTACCATTGAGACACTGATAACCGTGTGGCCGGCACTGCTTCGGCAGCTCTGCATGGATCAACCCAGCTGAACCGCTAGGGAATTGCCAGGTCATCTCTAGGAGAATGCTGTGTGTGCGGGTTTGCTGTTCTGTTGTGTTCCCGGAGAGCCTCATCCTTCAGAACCTCTTAGGACTTAATTCCATGAACCCTGGGATGAAGTTCTGTGTTAGTCCTTAGTTTTTCCAAGATTTGAAACACTTAGAACAAACCATCTGGTACCTGAGCAAAAAACATGTCAGTAGAAGAATTTATATATCTTGTTCATAAGTGCAAAGACCCAAATCTGTTACAGAAGGGATGATGTCTTTACATCCCGCCCTGGAACAGCAATAGTATCTAGCGCTACCCCCACAGCACCTACAATCATGACCTGGTCGGACTAAGAAATGCTGCCCCCAAACCGTCACTAAAACATACATGTTGGTACACTCCGTGGAAGAGTTTAAGTTGTCCGCCTCGACCTAGCAGCAGCAGACAGCGAGGCTGGGCATTCCCTTACTCACGAAGCGCTTCTCTTGCTTCTGTGCCGGATCTTGGTTCTCCTCCTGCCTTCCTGCCGGCGGGCCCTTTTGTTCCGCACTGACTCCGTCCTCTCCACCTGAACTTTCGACAGTAAAATTCTCAGGTTTCCGTCCTGGGTTCCGAACTGCCAGTTCTCCCCCTTGGTGATTTCAGCCGCTCCCTTGGTTTCACCCGCGCTCCGCCTGCCCAGAGTGTGCGTCTACCCCGGCCTGCGGTTCCTGGCCGAACCCGACTTGTACAGCCGCAGTGCGGCATCTCTACTTGGTTCCCTCACACGTATGTCAAGGTCAGCATGCCCACCGCTGAACTCTTCATCTTGCCCTGATTCCCCATCTCTCCGGACAGAAATTTGGGTGTCATCCGGAGAGCCACTTTTTTGGGGGGTCACCACCACCTCCCAGTCCGTTGCCACCTCATTGTTTCTCCAGGCCACCCACGACCGCGCATCTCCACTGCCGCGCGCTGGAGCTGTACCTCGCATCCGCTGACACCAACACGGCCTAAATCTTTAAAGTTCAAAATCATTAACTCGGCGACCTGGGTGATTAGGGCCTAATTTTGTGCCCACTGTCTCTGTCGTCCTTGAAGCAAGGCTTTGTTTGGTTTCTCAGAAAGTTCAACGACCTTCTCAGCCGGGTTCTTCAGCACCTGCTGTTCCGCATCCCCCGGCGTCTGCTTCTCCGACTCTGCTCGCACAGCTCTCGTCCATCTTTCCGGCCCAGTTTAAAAATACCACGTCCCCCAGCAGCCTTTCCCGGCCCGGGGTCTCGTTAGGTTTCCTTCATGGGCTGCCATGACATCTGCCATTCGTCACCCTGTCTAAATGTTGTCCATGTGACTGGAAGCTCCCGGAGCTTGTGTGTGTCCGGCCCTCCGGGGTCTCCAAGCCCCGGGGCCGGTGCCTGGCTCATAATACGCGTCCCAGAACCCCTTGCCGCGTGGAAGGGCGGGGATGCGGGTGGGATTCCAACCCGCGATTCCTTCGGAGCCCGGCGCCTTCACCTCTGCCACTCTGGTTCTGGGTTTCCGTGGAAGTGAGAAGTGATGGGGGAGCGCGGGGGCGGGAGCGGGAAGCTGGGCTGAGTTCTACAGGCGGCAGGGGCAGGGGCAGGGGCAGGGACACGTGGCCCGGACAATTCAGCAGCGCCGAGTGCCCGAAGCGCTGCCCGCGGGCGCCGAGGGGAGGCCCCTGTGGCGGGCCGGGCCGTCCTCGCGAGGCCCCAGGGCTTCCACGTGTGGGCCCCGGCCGGAGGCCGGGAGGCGGAGGGTTCCGGGAGGAGCCTCCCCAGGCGACCGCCGCAGGAGAGGCCCTCTCAGATCTCACCAGCCACCGCCCCCCTCGCCCACGCGGGGATCCTGAATGTGAGAGGCTGGTCCAGGAGACTAGACCACTGAACCCGGTCGCCGTGAATATTCTGGGGACCAGAGTGGACGCAGCTCCCTTCTCCTGGACAAGAAAACAATCATTCCAAAGTAGGTTTCTTCCCTTCCCTTGTCCTGTCCCCTCTCTCGTGTCCCTATGGGCGTAGGCCTTGGGCCAGACCTGGGTTGGTTCTGATTCTTTAGGTGTGAAACCCTAGGCACTTTCCATAACCTTCCTAGTCTTCATGTCTGCGTCTACACAGCGGGGAGACTAGTGCCTCTCTCGGAGGCTTGGGCTCTCCAAGTGTCCCCTCCTAACCAGCAGCATGAGCATCATCGCTCACTTTTTAGAAATGCAAATTACCCAGCTCAACCCAACCGACTGGATCAGAAACTCTAAGCAGGGTCCACCTGTGTTTCAATAAGCTCTAGGTGGTTCTGCTGCAGGGCGATGTTGAGAAGCACAATAAGAGAGGGGCCAATTAAATGAGATAACTAAAATATTATGTATAAAGAGCTGGGCAAGTAGTAGACGCTCAAAAAACAGTGGTTATGGTCATTCTTATTCCAAGAACAGAAAGGCAGTTAGTGACATAGAAACAAAAGTTAAATAGGCTCTTCCTGTCTTTCCTTTTAAGCAGGTCTTTATTTTCTTGCTTTAAAAAAAAAAAAACTTAAAATAAAAATATACAAAAAGGCTTATATGTAGAATTTTTAAAAACACACAAGCTCATAAATACAGGGAACAGATTGGTGGTTGCCGGAGGGGTTTGGGGGTTTGGTGAAGCTGGAAGGGAGTCAAAAGTGTTGAAAAAACCCCCAGTTATAAAGAAAAGAAGTCATGAGGATGTAATGTATAGTGTGGCAACTATAGTTAATAATACTGCACTGCCTTTCGAAAAGTTGCTGAGAGAGCAAGTTCTTAAAAGTGTAGGTATCATAAAAGATTTTGTAACTATGCATGTTGATAATGTTAGCTGGACTTCTGTGGTGATCATTTAAAAATATATACAAATATGGAATCATTGTGTTGTAGACCTCAGACTAATGTTTATGACAATTACACTTCAATCGTTTAAAGTGTTACATGTTAAAAAAGATTGAAAACTATCATGGTTGACCATAAAGCAACCTAATAAAGACAAAGGTACAGACGGATCTGAGAAATCCAACTTCGTTAGCATGACAGATTTCACGGCCTGTCTTTTCCTTTCTTTCATTACAGAAACTTCAGAAAGGCCACCTACAATTAATAAGAAATGTTAAGACTGCCCAAAAAAGGCTTACCTAGATTTGATCAAATTCAAGATGAAGAAACCTACCTGGAAAACTTGGTGGTACAGAGAAACGCTTCTGCTTTTTTTGAGAAGTACGACCGGAGTGAAGTGCAGGAGCTGCTAACCACGGCCCTGGTCAGCTGGCTGAACGCCAAAGACGACGTCCGCTCTCAGCTCGACCTCCCGTGTGGAATTATGACCCAAATGAATAACGTGGGTTTCTCCACTGCCATCCTGCTGACTCCTGTGGACCCGACTGCCCTCTTAGACTATAGGGAAGTCCATCAAATCATAAGGGAGTTGGCTGTTGGAATTTATTGCTTAAATCAAATTCCCTCAATCAGTTTAGAAGCTAATTACGATCAGAGTTCCTCTTGTCAATTACCACCCGCTTATTATGATACCAGAATTGGGCAAATTCTGATCAATATTGACTACATGCTGAAAGCATTGTGGCACGGGATATACATGCCCAAAGAAAAACGAGCCAGATTCTCTGAACTGTGGCGTACTATCATGGACATTGATCCAGACGGGAAGCCTCAAACCCAAAAAGATATTTTTGCAGAGTTTAGTTCTGCAGGTAAGAGAATCTAACATGCTTTATTTTTATTAGAAGCCATCTTTTTAATTTAAAAGTTATTTATCTTTGTCTCAGTTGGAGTTTTCAGTTTATACCTTTTGTCTTATAGAGCCCAAGTAGGAGAATCAGTAATAGAGCCAAGAGTAGAATTAAAGTGCATGAGAAAAATCTCCAAACTTGGAAACAAAATGACTGTGAGAGTGGATAGTCATCTACGTCGCCATTTTATAAACCTCAAAAACGAATGATAGGAGAATTGAAGTTAAGGAGAGATGTGCATCAGTGATCTAGGCTTTGGTGTTTTAGTAGCATTTGGCTTAATGAGTATTTGTTCTTGGTTCACCTAATTTTTAAGTTCCTTCCTTCTTAGGGCCATATTTCTCTAAAGCCTGTATATTCACAACAGATACCACTAAATCCTGGAGCACTCCCCAGCAACTAACCACATCATTGCCTTAAACACTGTGCTAACGTGGATTCCCAAGGGACTCAGCAGGAGGCCAGCTCTCTAGGAGGGCAGACAGCTAAGAATCAGTCTGGCCGTGTTAAACTTCATTTACCTCTCTGATTTGCAATTTACGAAACCATCAGCGAACACCACTCAGAAAACAGTCGTAGCAGCTGTAGAGAACAGAGCGTATCAAAATCTGGTCATATTATCTAGTTTTCTGTAGGGGATTTTAATTACGGAGGGTTTCTTATCTGAGTAATTCTTGGATTCTTTAATTTATTACATTAGGTTTGTGGGATGAGAGGATAGAAGGGAAACATATTCTTGCGATAGAAAAATGTGGAGGGGATAACTTTTAGTTAAAATGCAAATAAATGTATGTATTTATTAATACAAATATATATACTATATATACATATATTGTATATATATACTCATTTCATAGCACAATGGGTAAAATGGAATGGTTTTTGTTGTTTTTCCTTATGCCTCTCCTCATCCCCTGTCCTTTATCTGCCACGGTCTTCTCCCCGACACCTCACCTCACTCTTCCGCATTCCTCCCCAGGTTATAGCTCTTCATTTCTCAAGGCTTGGATCAGACACAGCCTCTTCTCTTTTACACACCCTCTGTCATTTTGTATTGAAATTACCGATTTCCTCTGTCTCCCTTATTAGCCCTTAAGCTCCTCTTCAAGAGCACAGAAAAGTATGTCTTTTTCTTCTTCAGATTCCCCAGCACCTCACACTGTGGATGGCACAACGTAAACGTTCAGTGCCCGTGGAAATTAAGTGTTAATAACAACAGAGTGTGCGGGGAAAGGAACTGAAGAGACTCTTGGGTTTCTAGTTTGAGGCACTGAGAGATAAATAGTTCCATTAACTGCGAACGAAAGAAAGCACATTTCAGGGACAGGGAGGGTGTTTGCTTCGGGAGTGTTTCTGGACCTTCAGATAAAGACATGCATCGGGCACAGAAAGAACGGAGTTCGGGAGCAAAAGCAGGGTAGGAGGCGAGACTAAAAGAAATTAATGTAGAGGGCGATACAATGGGATCGTGTGTTTCCCCTTCTTCATCCTCCAAATTTAGTTATAACCAGTTTTTAAAATTAAATCCTTTCTCATTTTTTACTTATGACTTTGTACATATGATTTGCATAACATGTTGTGATCACATTTCCTTTCTTTTTTAAAAATTTTTTATTTTGTTTATTTATTTGACAGAGACAGACATCACAAGCAGGCAGAGAAGCAGGCAGAGAGAGAGGGGGAAGCAGGCTCCCCACCAAGCAGGGTGCCCGATGCGGAATCGATCCCAGGACCCTGAGATCATGACCTGAGCTGAAGGGAGAGGCTTTAACCCACTGAGCCACCCAGGCGCCCCCACATGTCCTTTCTTTAATACCTTCACATTCTTTGTGCCATGAACTGCGTCACGTAAGACATCAGGTCCGGCTCCGGCTCAGTCCGCAGCTCCCCGCGGTACCGTCGAACGTCCGGGAGCAGCAGGTGCATCTCCGCTCCGGACGTCCCTCTCCGCCCCCCCCCCCCCTTCTATGGGAACTGATGCTCTCCGCTACCCTTCGCAGGGGGCTCTCCAGAGTCCTTCCCCGCGCTCCGCCCCGCGCCGCCCCCCCCCCACCCCTACCCCGCCTTTCCTCGTGCCCCTTCCTCGTCCTCCCGGTTCTCGAGGCCACACAAGCTCCGGGTCGCTCCGGGCTGTCCAGGCGTCGCGCTGCGGGGGTCGGGCCGGAGCCTTGTCCGCTCGCGGGGAGCATCTCCCCAGAGGCCGCACCTGCCGTCTTTCCGCTTTGGTCCATCCGTCCCGCGGCGTCCGGCCTGGACCGAGGGGGAGCCCGGCCAAGGCGGGGCAGGAGCTTGGGGTCTCCCGCGCGCAGACCCTCCCCGCGCGGTTTTCCGCTCGGCGGCTCCAGCCCTGCCGGGGAGGGGAGGGGCGGTGCGCGCTGCGGGAGGCGGTCGGGGGCTCGCTGCGCCCTAATAGGGCTGGGAGCCGACCTTTCCTGCCCCTCCCCCCGTTTTTGGTAATTCTCACACGGCGACCCGCCCCCGCAGGTTCCACGCTCCCCGCCCCCCGCCTCCTTCCGCTGCTGTCCTTGGGGGCGGGAGCGGCGGTAACTCCGACTCCGGGACCTGCGGGCCGGAAGGTCCACGTGCGTCCGGGTCCCGGGCCTTCGTGCTCGGCCGGCGACAGCTGCGCTGCTGCCCGGCGGCCGCCCCGGGCTCCCGAGCTTGCGGCGTCAGCAGGTGCGCGCGCTCACGTTCGGATCTTCTTTTTAGAAATACTTCAGTACTTTTCGGGAATGCTTCAATTTCTTTATAATTTCTTAATTTAACCTTTGCAAGAGGGAAGTGAATCATGGTAGCCATTTAAAAATCCAAGTATATTCTGGCTTTTATCGTCTGTTTTTCTTTTAATACCTTCGAGGAAGGACAAAAAGGAAAGAGAAAGGGAGGCACATGGAGGTATCGTTTGCACTTTTAAGGCACAAATGTTAGACTCCACATTTTCTACCAAGACATATTTTATGATTCCATGCAGTTTTCTCAAGCTTAGATTAAGGGTAGCATTATAAGTGTACCTGTCCTTAAAAAGACAATTTGACAACAAGGATGTGCTTAATTTCATCATAAATAGGAAGAAAATGTAACAGGAAATGTGTCACTTATAATAGAGTAAAATCAAGTTTAAATTCTTATTTGTTTCATCCCAGTTAGCGAGAAAGTTCTCTATTGTGTATGTTTAGCTTCTGATATCAGCAAAAACAAGAAAGATGTAATAGAAGGCTTGAAACTGCAGATTATACTTTTAGCCAAGTGAAAAGTTGAGTCCCTGCTTAAAGAGAGATCACATTTTTTTGTTCTTCCATAGTTACCGTGATTAAATATGAGACATTGTATCCATGGTTTTGGGTTTCATGCGTCCAAAGGGAATGGAAATCTATCCTCAATCTACAAGCTTCCGTCTTTCTTTACTCTGCTTAATTCCCACTCATCCACTTGCTTTTCATCTTTAACAAATTTCTTGGCATCTCATTATTTCTTTATTGTCACTGTAGTAGGATTTCCAGATGAAACCCAGTGTTCAATCTCCTCTATTTATCCAGAAGCCAAGTACGATGTTTCACTATCTACTTTTTTTTTTTTTTTTTTTTTTTTTTTGCTGTCAAGGCCTGACTGACGTCTCGAAGGACCCAGACTTCGATGGGATCTATGACGAAGACATGAATGAGGATCCCACGTACGATCCCAATAGCCCTGAAGAAAAAGCTGTTTTTATGAAATATGCTGAAAGCATTATGCTGAAATTAACGTTCAGTACCACACAAGTTCAGCAGTATGAGAATGTTTTTATATTTGAAGCAGCCTATTGGCTTACAAATGCTATAAAATGTACTCAGGACTATCTTGATATTTGTACCTACCAGAGGCTACAGCAAAGATTGTATCTCCAGAAAAAGATTATTCAAAAACACTTTGAGAAGAAAAAAGAAATCAGAAGAGGGGTAGGATACCTAAAGTTAATATGTTTTCTGACTCCATTTTTATTGAGTTTAAAAAAGAAGATGAAAGTTCCATATTTAAGTAGTCTGCTTCCGCCTTTTTCAGGTAAGCGTATCAATAAAAATCAAATATAAAATAATTACATATATATGCACATATATATATTATATTTAAATTCAACTCTGCTCATAGTAGGTGTGTCCAGGCATATAACCTTGCTGTAGCTATTAGGAAACAAAATAAAACAAAATTCAATGTCTCCAAGGTAGTTAAAAATATTTGCCATATGTACGTAGTGCTTGGTATATATTTATACCAATTATAAGGCCTATTAGGAGACTTAAAACAAATTCTGAGAAGAATAGGGAAATATGCCGTGTTCATTATGGGACATATGATACACTCTGACTGTATCATATCTGATCTATAAACCTATAAATTCAAGGCACTTCTATTAAAATCCGTCTCATGTTTTTCATGGAAGTTTATAAATTGATTCTGAAATTATTATGGAGCAGTAAAGGATCATGAATGGTGTTACATTTCTGAAAAAGAGACAAAAACATATTTTAAAACTGTTATACACAAACAAACCGATGTAAGAGGCTGGAGAACTGAAATAGGACCGTACTCGCATTGCCTCTGACACGCAGTGCAAACTGTTCCCTGCACCCAGACGAGTACACGATTTATATATTTTCATTGGTGCCCAAACGTGTAGGCTTATTATGGTGGGCTTTCTACAGGTGGCAAGTTTTCAGTAGAAATTTTGCAGGTCATTTAATGAAAATTTGTATCATGAGCATTCAAATGGTGAAAATTATTACCCTTATCCATGAACTACTTAAAAATGGTCTCATGACCATTCTTATCCTGGGGTGGAGGTAGGAGGGCAGTGTGTATGGAACCAAGAAGCCCTTGATTAAAGAGAATATTAGCTATAACTGTAATGTTTTATTACTTAGATTTTTGGAAGCAAATATGACTCAATGTTAATAGTTCCAAGTGGTGATATTCGGATGTTATATTTATTCCTTGAACTTTTCTGTGCCGTTTACATTTCTCAAAATACATTGTATGCTTTACATTGATGAAACCATATTCTGCTTCTAAATCAAAATCCTGGACAAACCTAATCATTACTGGAGTTTTAGAAATTTATTTTTGTAAAATAAATGTTGTATGTGTGGTTTTATGACTTCCAAAAAGGTGAGCTGGTTATTTTTGTCCGTGAGAGATACTTACCTATTTCTTTTTAACGTCTCTTTTTACCTGAGCCAGCTCAGGTTAAGTTTTTGTTTTGTTTTGTTTTGTTTTGTTTTTACTTAGCCCAAGATTCTCTGAGACATAGTTTCAAATCTTTTCTGACAATTGGAGGTAATATATAAGTCTTGAACTCACACGTAGAAATCATTAAGTAGAATAATGTTTTGGCTGTTCTCCTGAAATGTCTTTACAAATGAAACTATAGAAAATGCCCAAAATGTATGATACAAATATATTTACATGTTTTAATATATACTAAGGCAATGATTTTAGAGACTAAAATTGCCAAGATATTCATTTAATGTGGATTTTTTCCCACTTGGTTTATGTAAATTAGAATCTAGATCTTTGGGACACCTGGGTGGCTCAGTGGGTTAAGCCTATGCCTTTGGCTCAGGTCATGATCCCAGTGTCCTGGGATCCAGTCCACCATCGGGCTCCTTGCTCGGCAGGGAGTCTGCTTCTCTCTCTGCCTCTGCCTGCTTGTGCTCTCTCTCGCTCGCTCTCTCTCTCTCTCTCTGACAAATAAATAAATAAGTAAAGCTTTAAAAAAAAATCTAGATCTTCAAAATATGATTGTATATATGCTGTTTTCACTTTTTAAATTAAAGTTTGTTTTCATTTTTGGAGATGACAAGGTCAAGACAGAGCGAGAATTGCCTCCGTTTATTTATGGACGCGATTTTAAATGTCAGCATTTTCACTACAAAGAGGATCAATATTTTCATGTTCATGGAGGAGTTGAATTTGATATCAGCACACCTTCAATTGAGAATGCTTTGGAAGATTTTAAGGTTCTAATTATTATTGTTTCTGAAACGGCTTGTCATCTCACACCCCTTCATCTTATTCTCCGTCAACAAAGAGTCTCTGTTGGTACCGGCACTAGGCCAGTCTCCGAATGACTATCTGCCTAACTCACGAATCTTTTCATATATCATGTAACATACATGAATTTAAGTGCAAGCTACATCCGAGGTATGTTAGGTATCAGAGATGACACGATAAATAAGCGAGGTACACCTATCCTTACAGAATTTGTAGGCCTCTAATGGACCATATGTAACCTAAAATAATCAGAGTTTAGTAAAAATCCTCAACATTCACTACATATTCTTCCATTTTCCTCAAAGGTTAGTATTAGAAAAGAGATCTTCTAGAGTTTGGGAGCAATAATTTAATCTAGAGTTTCATATAAAAATAATATTTGAATTATCATTGCTTTTCTACCTTCTTTACATTATCTTTTGTGTTTTTTTCCTCACTCCTGAAGTAGGAATTGGATACATGCAGTCATCATTAAGGTCTGGTGGGATATTATATTAAAAAAATTAACATTTACAAGTATAACATTTTATTTAAAAGAAACCATAATTGTTTAGACTTGTTTAAAGATGTATTTTAGTAACAGAACTCATATTTTAGAACAATTTAGAAAAAATACGGGCTTGCGCTGCCAATGCATTTGTGGAAGATTCGGGATACAAGGAACATTACTCAATACCAGTCATGGAACTTAATGGAAAAAGGTAAGGAACTTTCGGTAATCATTCACAGTAGCCACAACTTGTTGAAAGTTAGAAGAAAACAAGGAAAGTGTCAAAATGCCAAGGCTAACTTAATACCTCAGCACAGAGATGCTAGAACAATAACTTCTATGAATGAAATCCAGACTCAACAAAATATTAAATAGTGTATTTATTACTTCATGCTCTTTGGTACGTTCTGTATAACAGCCCTTAGCGATGGGGACTGGTTCTTAAAACTATCACTGCATTTACATGGGGATGGAGGTGGGGATCAAATCCTGTGGGTCTGTGAAAGGGCAGTGGACTCAGCACAGAGAATAGGATTTATTTATTTTTTATTTTTATTATTTTTTTATTTTTTAAGATTTTATTTATTTATTTGACAGAGAGAGATCACAAGTAGGCAAAGAAGCAGGCTCCCTCTGAGTAGAGAGCACGATGCGGGGCTCAATCCCAAGACACCGAGACCATGACCTGAGCCGAAGGCAGCGGCTTAATCCACTGAGCCACCCAGGCGCCCCCTGCCTGTCATCTTTTGAAGCTAGATGTTTCTCTAAGTTTTGCTAGGGTCTTTTATGTATTATGCTCTTGGATTTTCATATCTTGGATGCTGAAGTTTGGAAATATGGAAGGTAGAGCTGGGGCATTGTCATTAGGAGGTGGAGACTTGAGATTTAAAAGCATATAGGAGAGGTTTTTTCATCTTGTTTTTTAAGGCATGGAAGTGATTTAAAGAACAGGACCAAGTCGAGAACTCTGGAGAACAGCTGCTTTTAAATGGGGTGGAGAGAACAGGGGAGAGAGCAAAGGAGACTGACAAGGAAAGATGCAGGGAGGAGGGCCAGGAAAGCATGGTAGCATGGAAGCCAAATGGGGAGAATTTTCAAAATATGTAAATAGTTGAAAGCCTCAAATTCAAGAAAAGGTCAGGTCAACTTAAGATTGAAGAGAGCACTGAGCTTAGCAATGACTTGGGAAGGAAACTAGTTCTGGTTACAGGCTAGGTGTAGTGGGCCGAGGGGTGAAGTTGGGGAGAGTTCATGGGATGTGAAGAAGTAAAGACAACGATTATAAATTTCTGTCAGTATGCGTGGCAGTGAGGAAAGTACCAGAAACAAGGCAGAGGGAGAAGCAGGATAAACAATGAGAGGTGGATCGCCCCATTAATTCTGCCTGAAAGTGCACATGGTGCTAGAGATGAAGTCAAAGACTCTGGGGCTGGTGGCCGCCATGACTTTGGAGGGAATCAAGCAAAAGAGCTCACGCCTCTAGAACCGACAGCTCGTGTGCATCTCCCTGGAGGAGGAACTCTCTCGCTCAGGGACCCAGCACCTGCTGATAGGCTCCACGTACAACCCTTGCGAAGCTGGACAGTATCCCGGAAGCCCCTCTGAATAACACTTGATTCCCTCAGGTGTAGTGTCTGGCTGGACGCTAAGATCCTGGGAGTGCAGGGCATCGGGGGAGATGAAAGCTCTGCTTGGTAGAGGTGGTTGTGGGTGAGGGAGCCTGGTCGGCATAAGCACACTGACTGCCGCTGAACTGGAGGGGACCAGTCTCACCACTGTTGCAATGGGATGCCTTGGCGGAATGAGCTCTAGCTTCTGACTAATGCAAGCATCTGGTCCCCAGGGTTGGTGACCCGCAGTTAGCTGGATTTGAATTTGCAGACTTTCAAAACCAGCAGGGGCTTCTTTCTCAGACCCAGGAGAGTGGAGTAATAGTATTTTCCTGGTACCCGTACCAGTTACTAAAGAACCTTCAGTTTCAGAATCGCGTCCCCCACATAGTTTTTCCTAGAGATCCCAGATGCTCATTCAGCTCTCAGGTGCTATGAGATCCCCTCATTCCCGTCTGAGCTCTCCGTAGTGATCCGCTGCTGGGATCCTGACGCTCAGCAGCCCATGAAGGCAACTCAGCCCTGGTGCTATTGCATGAGCGACGCTGTTGCTCCTGGTTGTGGGTCCGTGTCACCTCTGGGGCCGGCTCCTGCTCATGCGTGCTGAAAAGCGGCGTCCGCTGTGAGACGTGTTGAGGCCCATCTACTGAAGAAGGAGAATTTCTCTCCTAATTTTCTTGGTTTCAAGGAAGTGCTGCCTTGAACCCCTAATAATTTGGTGCAAAAACATCTTTTTTGGTCATTTTGCTTGCAGTCGTTCTTTTCTGTGATGTAGGGATCATTCTGTGTTGGTGCTGGACCAGAGAATAATCTGAATGAATGATTGAAAACATGCCATCTTATCTCCCCTCTTTGCTTTTAAGGGCCTTGTTACTGGACTGAACTCATGTGGTTTGATATTCTCTTTCCTCGGAGTGGTTGATCTCCTAGGACACCCCAGGTCCCTTAAGAAAATAGGATCAGTTCCACTGGCCTTCCAGGCATGCCTGGAAACATTTAAGTCCTAGACTGTTTTGGTTCAGGTTGGGTTCTCCTGCCATCCCAGAATCAAAACGTAGGGACCACAGTCAGATACTCAGAACTTGGCCACCCATAAAAGTACAAGAATTCATGAATTACTAAGGTGACGATGACCAGAGCAAAAAGGTTAATTTATACCAGTACTAAAACATCCTATTTTGTCGGTATGGAGAGCAGATCAGCACTGTGACACTGTTGTGGGTATCAGGAAGCAGGTCAGAAATCAGTTGAACATGGCAGTGGTATATCAGGGAAATGTGGTGCTGGAAACTCCTCAGAAGCTGGGTGCCGGTTTCCAGGGAAGAGTATGAATGCGGTCATTGTAAAGGCGAGGCGCCCTCATAGCCGTGACGGCACAGAAGGTTTGAGTAAGAGCAGTGGTATGTCACGCTGCAGGACCTGGACGAGGGCTCCCTTGTGGCGCTGGCCTTGTGGGCTCTCTGTGCTTCCAAGGTCATCTTTTTTGGGGCCAGTGCAGGCTGTGGATCCACCCTTGGGTGGGGAGGGTGGGTCACGAAATTCTGTGGTAGAGACCATCTCAGGGTATAGCCACCTTCACCACCTCTTTCTTCTCCAGTTTCTAGGGTAGGATAGGCCCCTGCTGATTCTCCATGCTTGATTTGTATTGGATAAGTAAATTGAATTTCTAGAAGAAATCAACCCACATCCCCCTGGTGTTTGTTAAATTTATAAGTCTGTTGCATTGCTTCAGCAGTGATCGAAGAGTACAGCACTGAGTACCGGGGCCCCAGGGGTAATCAGCAACTCCTGACCCCATAACAGTTTACCACAGCTAGAGCCGGCTCTGGAGAATCATAGAAAGAAGAGGTTGTAGGCACTGGGACTCTATGGTGTGGCACTGGGCCACTCAGAGACCAAAGGATATCTTCAGTGTGATCCCCTATGACTACATCTATGGAAGCAGTCGTGTGGGACCTGGTGTATCTCTTTGTGGTGTCTACTCTTAGCTGCGTATATGACACAGAAGGAAGGTGAGCTATTTTCTTCTAGAAATTTAGTTTAGTCATCCACTGTAAATCAAGCATCCAGGTGTGACTCATACAGCTCCTTAAGGCTCTAGAAGCTATTGCCACTGTGATGTGAAAGCCTTCAGATCCAGGTAAGACTCAGAGCACCTGTCCCCGATTCCGGAGGCAGGAGTCTAGGGAGTCAGGCCAGCCCTCCGTCATGAAGGCGGCACCTCGGCAAGTCAGGGCCTACGGGCAAGGTGACAGGTCCCACCCCCTGGACCAGCACTGTATTTGCAGGATGTGTGTGAGGACAGCCTTAGTTTGTATTTGTGGCCTCGTGTCCTCGTCGGAGGAGAGCATGGTGGGTGGGAAGAAGCTCAAATAAATGTGACTAGGTCCTCAAATATGCCTCCAAGCCTGCAGAAGTCTGCTGCGTTCAGAAAGCTGGGATGGAAGTGAGGGTCAAGGAAGAGAGGATATTAGCCTCTGGCTAGTTCATAACATACTATTTCCCTAACACCTTCGTTTTCAATCAAGTACAATTTAAACTACAGTTTTAGGGGCACCTGGGTGGCTCAGTGCGTTTAGCCTCTGCCTTTGGCTCAGGTCATGGTCTCAGGGTCCTGGGATCGAGCCCCACATCGGGCTCTCTGCTCGGCAGGGAGCCTGCTTCCCCCCCTCTCTCTCTGCCTGCCTCTCTGCCTACTTGGGATCTCTCTTTCTGTGTCAAATAAATAAATAAAATCTTAAAAAAATAAAAAATAAAATAAACTACAGTTTTATATTTAATTATTACAGAAAAAATATGGTTTAGTCAGCATAGAAAAAAAATAGCAAATTACTTCAAAGTCAGAAAGATTTATCTTTTTTCTTTATGTTTTTATAGCTACTATGTGATCTGTTTTGAACTTGAAGCTTTCTATCATCAACTATACAAGACAAAATGGTGGGGAGCCATAAATGAAGTCGTGAACAGTCTGAAACCAAAAAGGCTTCCACTAACAGATGCTCAATTACATGAACAATTTAAGAAAAAATTTGGTTTCAAAAAAGCTATGAAATGCAAGGTATTTCAGTAATTATGACATAATTTAGTGTACATAATACGTTATAGATAAGTGTATGTCGCAAATTTCTATCTTAGGGATAAATATTAGGTTAAATAAAGTTTTCAATGTGAAATAAAAACTCCACATTTCAGCAGCTTAGAAGCTATATAATTTTGGATTATAAATCTCTGGCAGGGTTACAAAGTAATCTGTTAGCGAACCGCACGGCGGCCAATCTTCATAAAGGCTCGTGCGCACTGAGTACTGCTTTTGTGTGCCAGGCACTTCCTGCATCCTTTTAACAAACTTTCTCAAGGCGCTAAGACTATTGTTATCATTCCTGTTTTGCATGTGAGAAATTTGACATGCAGCTAGTTAAGGATCTTTCCCAAATCACACTAAACGGCAGAGTCAGGCTTCAGTCCTGGGACCCAAACTTGAGGAACAAACATGTCATCCTGAATCAGATTTCTGTACCTGTTTCAACAGGCCTTGAAGGACGGCTTCTGGAACTAGAAGTGCTGAGCTCACCCACTTTAATGGATACACTAGCCTTTATTTACCACGTATTTGTCTCAATGTCCATAAATTTAAAATTTTAATGAGCTCTTTTTTAAAAATTTTTATTTTTTTTCATTTCTTTTTAGTGTTCCAGAATTCATTGTTTATGCACCACACCCAGTGCTCCATGCAATACGTGCCCTCCTTAATACCCACCACCAGGCTCACCCAACCCTCCACCCCCCACCCCTCCAAAACCCTCTGTTTCTGAGTCCACAGTCTTTCGTGGTTGTCTCCCCCTCCAGTTTCCCCCAACTCCCTTCTCCTCTCCATCTCCCCATGTCCTCCATGTTATTCCTTATGCTCCACAAGTAAGTGAAACCATATGATAATTGACTCTCTCTGCTTGACTTATTTCACTCAGCATAATCTCCTCCAGTCCTGTCCATGCTGCTACAAAAGTTGCGTATTCATCCTTTCTGATGGAGGCATAATACTCCATAGTACATGGACCATATCTTCCTTATCCATTCATCCGTTGAAGGGCATTTTGGTTCTTTCCACAGTTTAGCGACCATGTCCATTGCTGCTATGAACATTGGGGTACAGGTGGCTCTTCTTTTCACTACATCTTTATCTTTGGGGTAAATAGCCAGCAGTGCAATTGCAGGGTCATAGGGAAGCTCTATTTTTAATTTCTTAAAGAATCTCCACACTGTTTCCCAAAGTGGCTGCACCAACTTGCATTCCCACCAACAGTATGAGAGGGTTCCCCTTTCTCCACATCCTCTCCAACACACATTGCTTCCTGTCTTGCTAATTTTGGCCATTCTAACTGGAGTAACGTGGTATCTCAATGTGGTTTTGATTTGAATATTAATTTTTAAAATATTAAGTAGTCAATATGTCTCAAAGAAGAGTGTCCTATTTTTACATCTCTATTTTGAGACCTAGAGCAAAGAAGACAAATTGTATTTCTGTAGCTATATGTTTCTAGTTTCTAGGTTTCTAAATTAGATTGTTATTAAATCAAAAAAGGAACTCAGTGATCTCCCTTTGTTTAAGTATTTCAGAAAGAAAATTGTCTATCCTGTTTTAATTGTCTTCAAAGAAAGTTCTACAACTTCTCCCTAAAAAGTAGTGGAGAAAAAAAAAACTTCCCAAAAATATTTTTTAAATTTCTCAGTGTTTCTTTATAGTTCTAATAATTTTAATCATTGTCCAGTGAGACACTTTCCACATGGATCTTGTGAAAATTCTACCCTAACTGGGTACCAATCCTGTGATATTAATATATATTTAATATGTTATATATTAACATTGTATTTATTGTAAGTATGTTAGTATGTTTATTGTTCTTTTTTTCCTTAAGCTAAACTTGAGGTATATTTTGAAAAAATTTACTCTGACCCTCTTAATAATTTTAGAGCATCCCATTTGGGATGAAGTCTGCTGTTGAAAGAGGATTGTCTGCTGTTTTCCATACATTTAGCCGTAAAACCTCAAGCTTGACCATCAACGTTTCAGACGAATCAGGTTATGCCATTTTCCATCACGCTGCCCTGCACAACAGAGTGGCTATCATATGTCAGCTGCACAATGCGAACTTCAACGTCAACCAGAGACGCTTTATTATGTTTAGCCAAGGTACCATGAAGTTCCTACGTTTGAAACTGGTTTTCTTTTACTTACTGCCCCGATTCAGAATGAAGAATGCATGTTGACGTTGGCGCAAGATTAAAATTTGGCATTGAGACCCAGAGCAAAGCTGAGGTTTTGTTTCCCTTATTTCAGAAGGGGTCCTTTTAGTTTTCTAAGTATATCCCTTATTGCTGTCCTGTATAGTATCATTTATTGGTTTATTGTAACTCCCTCACTTGACCATGAGCTCCTCACAGGCAGTGATTTGGTTTACTTCGTCTGCCATGTTACTCGAGTGCCCAGAAGAAAGCCTGAGGAAGTGGACGTTGGGTGAGCGCCTGGTCGGACGGATGCAGGGTAGCACCTGGTAATCACTGGGATGATTAATATACAGTGATGTACTGTAGCAATGCAGAGAAAAGGTAGATAAATGGAGAACCCAGCAGGACATCCATTCCTTATCCTCAAGTTCTCAACCAGGGAATAGTTTCTTCATGATACATAAAAAATTATAATGAATAACAAAAAATTGATCCATAGTAATAATTTTTTAGATTAGTGGGCCCTTTAAGGCTAACTTAGTTTTGACTTTAAAAAGCCATTTTTCCTGAGTATTAGATATGCATACCTATATATGTATTCACTGGAATAAATTTAACCAGTATAAAAATGATAATGTTGAAAATGAAAGCAGAAGTCCTCCATAACTGAAGAGAGCGTTAGAGATAAAACATCAGGAGCAGCTGATACCACAATATTGGCAGTAAGAAGCGACAATTTTATATTTTAACCAGCTATCTTAAAAAGTTTTGTTGAATTTTCACGCACCAAAACAAAATGTTCTGCTTTAATCCTGCTGACTACTAATTAATTCTGTAATTAAAATGTTTTGAAATTAGGATACTTCTATAGATTAAAATAGAGCAGAAATTCAGTTAAATTTAAATGCAGTGAGTACTCTGTTCTTTAAAGATGTGTTATATTTTAAGCCTTTTTTGGTGTGAAAAAAAATCTTTTGTAAATTGAAGTCTCTCTTTTGTGTTGTGACTACTTGCATTTCCAGTTGCTAAGAATTGGATAGATTTTGAAGTATGGAAAATGTGTACCTCTACCTGCAATGTCTGCACATTATGACTTTGCCACACAGAACAGCCCCAAGTGTCAGTTTTGACCAGACACTTGAGAGGCAGCGCCCAGGTCTGCTCTGCCATGATGTCGGGGGCGGCCACTATGCCCAGACAGCTTGACCAAAGCTTAAACTCGGTCCTGTTTGACGTAATCCTGCCTCTGGTGTCCAAACACGGCCATTTTGTTCTTATTCATATGAGTTTATTTTGACTAATTTAGGCAATTGCTGCTTATTAATAATCATACTTCTGTGTGTATTCCCCTTTAAAACAGAGTCATCAAAAATGGACATGAAAAAAGAAAGAAATGGTAAGACATAAATGAAATATTTGGTGTGTTTGGAAAAGTTATTGCATATATTAAAACTCTCCTTATAGAATATAATCTCCAAAATGTTCTGTCACATGAGCATGTCACGTGATGATGTTTTGTCTCTGTTTTGAAGTGTGCACTGTATTTTCTAGCCGTGGCCATTTATTCACATTCCTCTTAAGTCTTGGGGATTTTTTCTTTTTTCTTTTTTTTCCCCACTGTGGAATTTGCAGTTACCTCCCCTTATTTGTATAAAATCAGACCCCTTGAACATGGAGAGTCAGAAAGAATTTTAAAGGCCGTGTCTTCTGTATCTGTATCTACAAGACGGTGCCTTCGTACTCTGCGTAGTCATTCAGGGAGGGTCCGTTGTTTCGGGCTCTCGTCATCTTTGACGGGCCTGTGACAGCCACCTGCAGCTTGGCTTGTCACCAGAACACGGGGACCGGACAGGAGAGGGCTGCATCGTAGCATGATTTAGCCGTTCTTCCAGCTCAGGAGTTTAACATCTGTTTTTAATTCCAGTATAACTCAGTACAGTTTACATTAGCGTCAGTGTGTGGCGTGCGATTCAGCGATCTGTCCCGCACTCGGTGCGCGGTCCCCTGGGCCTGCTTCACCCTCCCCCGCCCACGTCCCCTCTGGTAACCACCAGTTTGTCCTGAATGTTTGAGTCTGTTTTTTGTCTCTTTTTTATTTGTTTGTTTGTTTTGCTTCTTAAATTCCACATGCGAGTGCAGTTTGTGTTTCTCTGGTCTACTTATGTCACTTAGCATTACATCTGGATCCAGCCATGTTGGAGCAAATGTTAAGATGTCATTCCTTTATGGCTGAGTAATATTCCACTATATACACACACAACACACATTTTTTACCCATTCACCTATTGACGGACACTTGGGCTGCTTCCATATTTTGGCTATTGTAAATAATGCTGCAAGGAACATAGAGGTTCATGTATCCTTTTGAATTATTGGTTTTTAGTTCTTTGGGCAAATACCCAGTAGGGTGATAACTGTATCATATGGTAATTCTATTTTTAATTTTTTGAGGATTGTTTCCACCCTGTTTTCTACAGTGGCTGGACCAGTCTGCATTCCCACCCACAGTGCGTGAGGGCTCCTTTTTCTCCACCTCCTCACCAAGGCTCATTGTTTCTAGTGTTTCTTACTTAAGCCATTCTGACAGGTGTGAGGTGGTCTCTCATTGTGGTTTTGATCCGCACGTCCCTGATGCCGAGTGACTTTGAGCGTCTTTTCATGTGTCTGTTGGCCGTCTGGATGTCTTCTTTAGAGAAATGCTATTCACGTCTTCTGTCCATTTTAAAATTGGATTGTTTGTTGCCTGAGTGTAGAGTTTTATAAGTTCTTTATATATTTTGGATACCAACCCCTTATCAGATGTATTACTTACAAATATCTTCTCCTGTTCAGTAGGTTGCCTTTCACTTTTATTGACTGCTTCCTTCACTGTGCAGAAGCTCACTATCTTGATGTAGTCCCAATAGTTTATTGTTGCTTTTGTTTCTTTTGCCTCAGGAGACATATCTAGAAACCTGCTATTATGGCCGATGTCAGAGAAATTACTGCCCGTTCTCTCTTCTATGATTTTTATGGTCTCAGGCCTCACATTTACGTCCTTAATCCATTTTGAGTTTATTTTGGTGTGTGGTGTAAGAGAATGGTCCAGTTTCATTCTTCTGCATGTGGCTGTCCAATCTTCCCGATACCATTTGTTCAAGAGACTGTCACGTTGCATCTTCTTGCCAAGGAGAGTTTACTTTTATTTTTTTAAAGATTTTATTTATTTATTTGACAGAGAGAGACACAGTGAGAGAGGGAACACAAACCTCAGGGAGTGGGAGAGGGAGAAGCCGGCTTTCCACTGAGCAGGGAGCTGGATGTGGGGCTCGATCCCAGGACCCTGGGGTCATGACCTGAGTCAAAGGCAGAGGCTTAACAGCTGAGCCAACCAGGTGCCCCAGAGAGTTTGTTTTTAAAGAAACCATTTACAAAGACCTGAATCTATTAGGGGGAAGGCAGTAGTTAATCAAACCAGCCATCTTCTGTCAGTGGAGGAACGCAGCTAACCTGAGATGATCTTAGACACAGTAAGTGCGCTGACCTCATTCTCCTCCCTTCTCCAGTCTCCTGTCAGCAGTCCCCATTGGCAGACACTGACAGAAAGCCAAAAGGACAGGGATTGCAAATTGTGCAGCGTGGGTAGTAGGGGGAGGTGGGGCGGGAGGGGGCTGCAAGGAGCTTCTCTGACCCACCCATACTGTAGGCATTTGCAGCTGAGTAACAATAGTGTGCTTCCTGCATTTTTGCTTTCTTTGTTCATTTCCTAAGTATCATTTATCCCTGCCTTCTATGATATTGTCCCTCTAACGTGTCTCCCTCACTTCGATAAGCTCCATAAGGGCAAGGATTTGGTTCACTTTGCCATGATACTCCGGTGGCCAGAAGAAAGCCTGGCCCTAGTGAGTGATTACGAAATAGTCGTTAAGTGAATGCACGGACGGATGGGTGTGGGGCCGGCATTTGACGAGCACCAGCGGGTTCATAGAGTCCCGTGATAGAGATTTTCAGGAAAAAGGCATAAATATGCCTTTCAGGTCCCAGGAGAGCATCTATTCTCCAGACCAGGATTCCCAACCAGGGAACGGCTTCTTCAAGTACATCAGCCTCTCCAGAACTTCCCTAATCCTGGTGTGTCGCAGGTCCATGTTTTCTGTTGACCTTGAGCGCTGGGTAGTTCCTTGCTGTGCGGGGCTTTCCTGTGCACTATAGGATGTTTAGTATGAATCCCTGAACTCTTCCTCTGAAACCAATAATGTGCTGTTAATGAATTGAATTTAAATTTTAAAATGTTAGGGGAAAAAAAGAATGTTTAGTATGACCCCTGGTTTCTAAGCACTAAATGCCAGTAGCAATCCCCACCCTAGCGGTGACAAACGAAAATGTCCTCAGACATTCAGATGTTGGGGGAGAGCACTTTACCCCAGGATGCTGGGATAAACCTTCAAGTACAGGGGAATCATCCAGGGACCTTGCTGAAATGCAGATTCGGATTCAGAGGGCCTGGGTGGGTGCTGAGATTCAGCATTTCTAGGAAGCACACTTTAGAGTCGTGAAAGGGAGTAGAAGAATGGTACTTCTGCCCTCAGGTTGGGCTGGAAAAAATCTTTTTTTTTTTCCTTTGGAGGAAGGTGGAAAAGAGGGAGAAGGTGGGTAGGGAGGCTTGTGTGTTTTTTTAAAAAAAACCTCTTCAGGTTATTGTGATATGTTGCCACAGCTGAGAGCAGCTAACAGCCTTTTGCTGACTGAAATGAGCAGCCATGTTCTCTAGTCCCATGATTAGGTTTCAGTCTTAGGGAGCCTGTGCTCCTGGACTGTGAACTTTACCTGTCAGTCCCCGCCCCCACCTTAGGTGTGTCATGGTGGCTGGAGAGGGGCTACGGTTGGGTATTTTCCTTCCCCTGGGCAGGTTAGGCTCTGATAAAACCCAGGAGGTCTGGCTCTGAAAACATCGTTTCTTCCGAGGGCAAGCCTTGTTAAGAGAAATGGAATGGTCTGGCATATCTCCAAGTGGTCCCTTTTCCCCTGATCCTCTCCTCCCCACTCCCCCACCCCCAAGCACGAGGGGATCTTTCTCTGATACCCACCATGAGGACTTGGTCAAACTCCTGGAGTTAAAACTCACTGAAGCATGGGGACCCCCTGAGATGGGGTCGCCCTGGAGTTTTTAACTCCCCAACTTACCACGATGAGTCTGCCGCAGGTTGTCAATCACAGTTCAGATTTCCCTTCTGCTACCAAAACCCGGTTCAGCCGCGCACTGCTCAAAAAGCCAATGCCCCGGAGATGAGCTTTGACTGGAAAGGAATGTATGAGCTTTACTCAGGAGGCTGGCCACCTGGAGAGAAGGCATACTCTTGTCCAAAGGCCAACTTTTTCTTGGCCCAAGAAGGATTTTGAGGGAGTTTCAGGCCGTTAACGCCGATCGGCTGCAACGGTCTGTCTCATTTCTCAACGACGGCAGACTCATGGTGTTTTAGACCTTATCATAGTGCAAGGCAGTTGTGCACAGGGGTCTGGTTCCTTAGTGCCAAGGGGTTGTGCAAAAGGGTCTGGTCTCTGTTTTGTGTTGTGTAAAAGGCTTCTGTTCTTTCTGGGAAAGAACCTGTGACCCACAGGTAGACAAAGAAAGGCTCATCGATCAAACGACGAGGGGTGATTGCTAAAACTTAAAGACTGCCAGGATGCTGGAGGGGCCGAGGTGGCTGTACTGCTCTAGTCTGGGTGCGGTGGAGGTGTGCTTTCAGCCCGTTATGCTTGTCCGTATCAGCCTCTCTATACCCCATCTCTGGGGGCAGCATTTGTGCCAAGATCTCACTTTTCCGTCGTATCTAAGAAGAGTTTTTGATCTCTGAGTTTGTTTGGTTTTCGACTTGCTTAGGATGGAGTGGTGACGAAAGTGCCTCCCATGCCTGGCCAGCCTGGAAGACCAAGCCGTGATTTTAGTCAGGTCAGATATTACAGAGGATCGAAGGCTATGACATAAACTTTGACGAGTAAGGCAGACTGGAGGCCATTGGAAGTGTCTGAGTTGGGAGAAAACCAGTGCTTCCCTGAGGAATTACCACTCAGACTGAGAAGTAGGAGTTCGCTGGACCTGGTCAGGAAAGCGTTGTTTGGGAGAAGGAAGCTGTCAGACAGCAGGACTAGACCAAATCATCGAAATCAGGGAGCCTTGAAATGGAAGAGGCACTGTATGTCAGCGCGCTGGGGCCACAGGCACCAGGAGCACCTTCCTGGGCCAGCTGGGCCATGGGGCTGGTTACCCTGGGATTGAGGAGCTTTGAGAAGGCCCAGATGAAGGGAGCAAGTTGTGTATGTCCTGGGTGTTTTGGCAGGAGGGGGACAGCTCGCAGTTCAGGTTGAACTGGAGCCAGTGGATCCTTTTCCTCTACCATGCTCGGGTGGCCTGGAGAAGCCCCTGAAAAGAAGATCAGATTTCTATTTTGAAATAAAGGATTGGTGAAAGGCAAGAACGACGTGGGTAGGTTATAGACATGCAGGGTGGGGAGACGGTGGCGGTAAACGTGGTTGTAGAGAGACTTAGCCTTGGTGACGGACTGGTCATGGAGATGAGATGAGATGGAGATACCAAGGAGTCTTCCAGAACAGGCTGGATGGTGATTCCTTCACTGATTTAGGCAGCAGTGGAAGGATCAGGTGTGGAGGAAAAAATAATTTGACTCAGAACATGTTAAGTTTGAGGTGGAGACACCAGTGAGATGTTGGAGATAAAGACATAGAGCCTGGTGGAAAACAAAACAAAACAAAACAACAACAACAAAAAAACAGATCTAGGGACATAATCCTAGGAATCATCAACTTTTAGGTGGTAAATGAAGTCACTGCAAAGCTAAAAAGGCCCAAGATGGCGCCTGAAGGCTCATGGAGGCGTCGGAACAATGAGGACGTCCAGAAGGAGACTGTGGAGGAGTAAACAGAGGGAGAGAAATGGAAGGTTATGATGTCACAAAAGCCAAGGAGAAAAACGCTATTTTAGAGAGGAAGAACCTTACTGTTGAGAAGTAAGATAAGAACTGAAAACCACCCACTGGATTTTGTGACATAGAGGGCTTTTGTCAGCCTATTTTTCCTTCAATTTCAAAGGATCTTACTTCGTACTACAAAGCAGTTAAATGAAATGAAAAATAATTTAAACAAGAAACAACTTATTTGGTCACGACTATTTTATACATTGACTTAATTTTTCAAACAAGAAACAACTTATTTGATCACAAGGCTATTGTAAACATTGACTTAATTTTTCAAATATTTAATATTTTCAATGTTATTCTTAATTTATGAAGAAGGATTGATTTTTAATGGTCAGACATTCTGAGTGAAAGAAATATAGAATTGCCTAAATTAATCCTTTTAGTGCTTCTCTTGGGGCTTTTATATCACAGTACTAAGTTCTGTGGATGGCTATCAAAAAGACATCTTTTAGTTAATTAATTAAATTATTTATTTTTAAAGATTCTATTTATTTATTTGAGGGGAGAGAGAACAAGGGCAGGAGAGGGAGAAGCTGACTCCCTGCTGAGCAAGGAGCCTAATGCTAAGATCATGACCTGAGTTGAAGGCAGAAGCTTAACCCACTGAGCCACCCAAGGGCCCCCAAAAGACGTATTTTTTTGGATAGACATGTTAGAAATTGATCACTTAAGTAACTGTCCATCCATTTTAGGTCCAACACCTCTACACCTGGCAGCGCAGGCTTGCTCATTGGAGACAACCATCTGTCTCCTCTGTTTCAAAGCTGATTACACGCTTTCTGAGAAAAGAGGCTGGATGCCCATTCACTTTGCTGCTTTCTATGACAATATTGGCGTTCTCACTGCCCTTTATAGGAAGGATCCTAGTTTGCTGGAGGCAGAGGCAACAGCTGAGTAAGTTATTAAGCATTTGTAAAAATATAAATTTCTGCTTTTTTGACTTGCCCCAAACACTAACAGTGAAGGAATGGTTGGTATCATTGATGTGAAAGGTATAAGGCTTACTCTGTTCTGGCCACTATCTTCTTCGTCTACCACTTACCTTTAGAATGTGTAAAGGCAGAACTTCTACTAGCCCACCGCATGCCATCTCAGTGGTGTGGCTCTACAGACTAGTTCATCAAGTTCACCACTTAGCACTCTGGAAGAAGCCCGAGACGGGGGAGGAGAAATGTGCTCTACCTTGGAGCCTAACCAACCAGGGGGCAGCTCAGTGCTCTAGACCAGTGTAGAGAGGCCTCAGGTCACAGGAGGAACATCTAGTGGTACTCGGAAAAGAAATACATTAGAAAGAAAATAACTTTGGGGGCACCTGCCTGGCTCAGTTAGCAGAACGTGCGGCTCTGGATCTCGAGTGTAAGTTTGAGCTCCAGGTCGGGTGTAGAGATTCCTCAAAAATAAAAGCTTCTAAAAACAAGTTTTTTTTTTTTTTTTTAAAGAAGAAAGTAACTTTGAAATAGGGAAACATCCCAAACACAGTTTCATAGGTTAGCTTCTATTTCACAATTTCTACTTCACAATTCTATTTCATAATTTTGCAGAGGACCAACATTTAGGATGGAGGTATACCTTCTCCTGAAGGTACATTCTTGGTAGTAATTGAAAGACAGGCTCTCATTTGGAATCTGAACATGATTTAGGCATTGTTTCATTAGATATTTCTGGGTCTTCATAGAACCTGACCATTATTATTCAGTGAAGAAATTAATTCTCCCTCTACGTTGGGGCAGAGATGTGTATAGAGAAAGCTTTCAGGACACTAGGTCTCTTGCTAATAGATTCTCTAACTAACAGATTCTGGAAAGAGTCATGGAATGTAGAGACCCCAGTCAGCTCTGACTCTGTCATATTGTGACAATGTGTCTTTGAGCAGAAGGGGGTTTGGGGATAAAGACTGGTGGATTGCAAAAAACAGTTGCATATCAGAGGTAGAAGTAAGACGCTATCTGTGAACATAAGGAAAAGGAAAGGCTTCATAGAGAGGACAGTTCCTGAGGTAGGGATCTCTGCGGAGCTGATGTAGAAGAGCCCCGGCGCGGGGGTGTGTGACTGCGGAACACACATGAAGGCAGGACGAAGAACGAGAGATCGGCGCACAGTCGGTCATTAGCATGACCTTCAAGTCAAGTTGGTGAGGCAGTTCATGAGCTAATATCCTGGAGAAGGACCCCGCAGGGCAGGGGGAAGGGCAATATGGAACTGAAAAGAGAAATATAATTTATTTGATAGTATATTTTTTCATATGAGGAAAATCAGAGTGATGCTGTTAAAATAGAAGTAGTCTTTATTCCTACTACCGAGTAGGATAAAGAAAGCAAGAGAACAGTCTTGTTAAGTACAGAAGGGAGAAAGTGAAGAGATACATGTGTACTCATAAAAGACAAGAGTTTCCCCAAGGCCCAGGAAAAAGGGAAGGGGGGTGGTCTGGGGCTAGCTGGACAGAGGTGAAAGTTCGAAGACAGAAAGCAAGATAAGGGGGGCTTCATGAAGAGAGGAAAGCCAGGGTATAAGGGTAAAATAATAACATTGAGTCATGTGACATGGTGACAAGAGAATGAGAGGGGAACACATGTCAAGACCGAGCGCCTTATTCACCCCGACACTAACACTGTGAGCTGAATGTTGTTCCCCTCATTCTCGACAGAGGAAAATGTAACCCAGTTCGCTTCAGATCCCATTGTAGTCAGCAGATCTGATAGTTCAGATAAGGTTCAAGTTGCAGTAACAGAAGTCTGCCAAAACATTGTAGTTCAGACAAGGTGACCACGTAAACCCATCTGGTTTCCGTGTCCTCATACAAGACGGACTCCTGCTTTCGTTGTTATGCCTATGTTTCAGCCATGAAGGGAAAAAGAAATGAAAAGTGATAGCACATTCTTTTCTCCTTAGGGAGTTGCCCCCGTAACTTCTACAACGTCACACTGGCCAAACGTGGGCGTGTGTCACAGCTCTCCATAAAGGAAGCTGGGAAATGTAACATTGGGCTGGGTAGCCTTGTGCCCAACCCAAAGATCTTCACTATCTAAAAAGCAGATAGTGGGACTTTGAGAAACTCTGTTGGTTTCTGCCGCAAGAAGGAAGCTGGGATTTGAGAACCGGACAAAATGGGTTGGAGCATTACCTGAGCCTCAGTTTCCTCATTTGTAAAATGTGCTGATAATACTTGCGCTTACTTACTGTGTTATGTCCTGATTTTTAGGAATCAGTGTACTCCCCTGCTACTCGCTGCCACCTCGGGAGCACTGGACACTATTCAGTACCTATTTTCTCTTGGTGCTAACTGGAGAAAAACAGACATCAAAGGAAATAATATAATTCATTTATCAGTGCTAACTTTTCACACAGAGGTTCTCAAACATATAATAGAGTTAAATATTCCTGAACTCCCAGTTTGGAAAACTCTGGTAGGTGAGTATACAACACATAATTGCTTTATAAATAAATGTTTTGATTATCACTCAGCTTAGTCATTGATGCTTACTCTGAAATAGAGCAAATAAAATAATACGTGCATCATTTTAAACAGTTAAAAATCATAAAATAAACATTTTTTAGTTACAACCAGAAATACAAATAATACCGAGCTTTAGTTTGTGTGTACAAAAGTAGTTTTATTTCCAAAATCAAAGAGTCATGACCCAGACCGTATCTTATACAATTATATTGATTTTTATTTTCCAATGTTCTCCAAAGTCCATCTATCTTGTTCTCCATCAAAAAAGTAAATTAAAAAACAACAACAACCAAACAAGGAAAGAAGAAGGAAATTAAAGTTCAAGTGAAAAAGATTTCCTCCAGTTTATTCCTTCTTAATTTAAGAGACAGATTCAGCAACATTTTTCCTCATCTATTGATAAATGTGTAAAAAATTTTGCTGGAGATTTTTTTCCAAATCTGGGTTCAGTGTAGCCAGAAATATTATAAAGGTAAGGGCTACTAGGGCAATTGAATGCACATGTCTAATCTGACTCTCTCCCGAGACCCCACTAAGTCACACGAGCTCACAGAAGAACGTCGGCATCAGCAGGAGACACACGCTCCGGAGGTGGCGGGGAAGGATGCCGCAGCCACAGAATATTGGGAACAGCAAGACGAGGACTTAGCAGGCTGGAGAAATCATTCCAGGCTAACGTGGGGAAGCTGAGGACTTCTCAGCCCTCCACTGTGAATCTCCGGGGGCTCTAGGACGCACAGTGCCCATCAGGAATGTTCTCTGCTGAGGCCAGAAGAGACCTAGAGATACTACGGGGGGGACTCTCAACAAAAAGGAAATTGGGGGTCTGACCCAAGAGAAAAGCAAGGGGATTTCAAAGACGGCAGCAAAGGGAGGTCCCAGAATGGACACTGTACTCAGGCCAAAGGGAAAATGTGGGAGGCATTCCCAAAAGGTACAAAGAACCCTGAGGAGATGAAATAAAATAAGGAAATTATTACCTCCAGGAAAGATAAAAGAAAGGAGCCAAAACTGTAGTACATTGCAATGCTTACCTGTGAATAATGTCATATAGGCGTGATAATGTAAGTCTGGAATATTAATTTAACTGAATACTATAAACATGGGGAAGGGGAGACAGGAAGCGGCCCTGCAGTGTTGAAAGAGCTTCTCATTCACCATAACATGAAGTCGACCGAGAGGTCTCAGATGGATATGGCGCTGGGACACCCGGGTGGCTCAGTCGGTTAAGCATCTGCCTTTGGCTCAGGCCATGATCCCAGGGTCCTGGGATCCAGTCCTGCACCAGGCTCCCTGCTCAGTGGGGAGCCTGCTTCCCCCTCTGCCTGCTGCTCCTCCTGCTTATTCTCTCTCTCTCTCACACACAAAGAAAGAAAGAAAATCTTTTTAAAAAATTCAGATAAAATTGATACAGGGAAAATAAATGTATTTAGAAATATGGAGATATGTAAGTCACAGAAGGTATAGAGGAGTCCAAAGTAGTTAAATCTGGAGAGATGAAATCAGAAAAATGGAGAGGGTGAGTCAGGGAACCACTATATTTTGTTATAGACCTTTCAGTAATATTGAACTCTGAATCACGAGCATGTATTACTTCACTAAAATAAAACTAAAGCAAGAATGAAGCCAATTGGGGAGTGTACACTGATGGCTTTCCCAACAACTGATTTTAGGATGGGATAAGATCTATTTCAGATTTTCAACTCCATTCCACTGACTCAAGAAGTCTGAATAATTAGTTTCAAAAAGACTCAATACCTGATTTTGGAATTTACTGGGTACTGGGAACACATTCCAGTTGCATCAGCTGCGAGATACTGGAGAGTTTCCAAAGCTTATTTGCATGCGTATGTGTCATTATGTCCCAGGCTTCTTAGGAGGAACTCAGAAGACCATCCTGTTACTTTTAAGAGAATAACTCATGTGAAATACCTCAATAGTTGGAGGAACCAGCCCCTGACAGGAAGAGCCTAATGGCACAAAAAATTCCTGACAGCCACTCCTTCCTGGAGTCATTGTTGGGAAGTGCTGATACTCACCTGAACACAACAATGACCAGAGAGCATGCGGCCATCGCCTCTTTGAGCCCTGGAGTAGGTCTCCTTGCTCACACGATGAGGAAAGGAAGCATTAGTCACAGTTTTTTGGACGTCTCCAGGGTTAGCTCCTGCAGAGCAGCTGAATGTTAAGAGATCCAAATTTTGAGTGATCTAGCAAAGGCAGGATTAGACCCAGATTTGCTATTACAAGGGGTTGGGAAAAGAGAGACCAGGAAAGGATACTCCCATCAGGTTTTTTTTCTTGTACCGTAGATGTTGTTTAGAAGCACATATATTTATTTGCATTATCTCCTGTCTAGAGTATAAGTTATTTAAGATTTTTTGAAATGTCTTCTTCATCCTCAGGAGATGTATAAAACTTCATATATGATCTAATGGGTATTAAATTTTTATTGACAATAACGTGGTTTACTTTGCCATCCTTGAAACTTACACTCAAAATTTTTTCTAAAGATTCATTTGTTTTAGAGAAAGAGGGCTCATGCAAGTGGGGGGAGGGGCGGAGGGCGAGAATCCCAAGCAGACCCCCCCACCGAGCATGGAGCAATGCGGGGCTCAGAGTCACAACCCCTGAGATCATGACCTGAGCCGAAACCAAGAGGCAGGCACTTAAGGGACTGAGCCACCCAGGTGCCCCCACACTGAAATTTTGTTCAGCAACTGATGTCAGGCAAGAGAAATGTGCGCTGATTTCCCAGTGGATCTGAACCTCATGACCCATCATCTAAGTCATTCAGACCAAAGATAAAAAATTTCAGAATTTTTGGTGCTAACTCTACAGATTATAAAACCTTAACGACGGTGGGCATTTGCAGTGTGCTCAGCACCTCATCGAAGGCCATGCACAAAGGGAATTTAATGAACAGCTTCTGGTGGTGATAGTGGTGATGTCAACGCACAGCTTCACTTGGCCTGTACAAAGCAGATCAGTCATTCCTACTTGTAAAATTATAACGTGTGTTTTCCTGTTGAACACTTGCCAGAAATGTTGCATTGTGAAAGCTATAAACGACGGATGATGGCTGTGATGTCTTTGGAAGTAATTTGCTTAGCAAATGATGGATACTGGAAATACATTTTGGATGCAGGTGATGTAAAGTCTCTTAACTGTCTTTTGTTTATGCTATTTTATGTGGGGCTATAATTATGTTCAGTCACTTTAAAATCTATTTTTTTAAGTTTTTATTTCTTTATTTGAGGGGCAGAGAGCAAGAGAGTGAGTGAGAGAACAAAAGCAGGGAGAGCTGCAGAGGGAAAGAGAAAAGCAGCCCTCCCCCCACCGCCCCTCCCTCCACCCAGGAAGCCCAATGCAGGGCTCAAGTCCAGGGATCCTGACCTGAGCTGAAGGAAGATGCTTAACTGACTGAGCCACCCAGGTGCCCCTTAAAATCTATTTTTAATTGTAGAGGAAACTTTTTACTTGATTTTAAGTTTCCATTTTTCTTTTTTCTAAGATCACTTCCTTTACCCGACAAATATATATAGATATAAATATTTTTATATATTAATTTATAAATATTATATATCTATATATTTTTTAAATTTGAACGTAGTTGACACACAATGTTATATTAGTTTCAGATGTACGACTAGTGATTCAACAACTCTATACATATATTATGCTATGTTCCCCATAAGTGTAGCTACCATCTGTCCCCATGCAATTGTTTTCAAATTCTTATTTAAATTCTGGTTAGTTAACATACAGTGCAGCATTGGTTTCAGGAGTAGAGTTCAGTGATTCATCACTTACATACAACTCCCGCTGCTCATCATAGCAAGCGCCCTGCTTAACGCCCATCCCCCGTCTAGCCCATCCCCGACTCGCCTCCCGCCATCAACCCTCCGTTTGTTCTTTATCATTAAGAGTCTCTTATGACTTATTTTCCTCTCTCCTTTTTTTCTTTTCCCCTTCCTGCGTGTTCATCTGTTTTCTTTCTTAAATTCCACCTAGGAGTGAAATCATATGGTATTTGTCTTTCTCGGACTGACTTATCTCACTCAGCATATTACACTCTAGCGCCATCCATGTCATTGCAAGTGGCGAGACTGCATTCTTTTGATGGCTGAGCAACTTGCACACCGCACACACACACTCCCTACATCTTTATCCATTCCTCAGTCATGGGACATTTGGGCTCTTTCCATTATTTGGCTATTGTTGACAATGCTGCTATAAACATCTTTGTATATTCACTGATTGGTATTTTACAGGCATGTACCCCTTTGAATCTGTGTTTTTGTATCCTCTGGATAAATACTTAGTGCAATTGTGGGACCACAGGGTGGTTGCATTTGTAACTTTTTGAGACAACTCCACACGGTTTTCCAGAGTTGCTGCCCCAGTCTGCATTCCCACCAACAGTACCAGAGGGTTCCCCTTGCTCCGCATCCTCGCCAACACCTGCTGTTGCTTGTGTTGTTAATGTTAGTCATTCTGACAGACGTGAGGTGGGATCTCATTGTGGTTTTGATTTGTATTACCCTGATGATGAGTGATGTGGAGCATCTTTTCTTGTGTCTGTTGGCCATCTGGAGGTCTTCTTTGGAGAAATGTCTGTCCTTGTCTTCTCCATGCAACACTCTTACAGTACCATTGACTATATTCCCTACACTGTACCTTTTATTCCTATGGTTTATTCATTCTGTATGGAAACTTGTATCTCCCATTCCCTTTTCCCTATTTTTTTACCCCCTCCCTACCTCCCTCCGCTCTGGCAATCATCAGTTTGTTCTTTGTGTTTACAGGTCTGAGTCTGCTTTTTGTTTGTTTATTCATTTATTTGTTTTTTTTTTTTTTTAGATTTCACATGTAAGTGACATCATACAGAATTTGTCTTTCTCTGACAACTTTATATTTTATTTTCACATGAAAATTGGAAATGATCAAAAAACTTTCTAAATTCCACTTCTCTAAAAATTTATAAACTCAAAAATGTTATTAAATTACTTCCTGTTCTACCTTTTATATGTACTTTCACTTAGAAATTATCCCTATTCTGTATTTACACAATTTATTTTTAAAATTAAAAATAGCGGGTTTTTGTGATGAGCACTGTGTACTGTATGGAAGGTTGAATCACTCAGTGCCTTGTACGCCTGAAACTAATACTACACTGTATGTTAACTCACTGGAATTCAAATAAAAACTTTAAAAAATAGCCATTCTTGTGTTTGCCCTGGGTTTGTAACTAAACCTGCATTTAGAACTTAGGCTAATTTCTTGCCCTCTCTAACCCTAATTTCCTCGTTAATCAGATGATTCCTACCTCACTGGGTTGTTTTGAGAATACAACTTTCTGAAATGATGGTATGTTCTATTGCACTGCCCAGTATAGTATCCACAGCTCTGATGTGGATATTGGACACATATGAAATGCTCCATAAATATTTGTTGAATGAATAAACGAATGAATAAAAAATACAGGTAGTACCCAAAAACCAACCTTTACTATTCCTAGAAACATGTACACAAAGCTCTGTGTCCAAAAAGGGAACCATAGATAAGTCGTTTCATTTCAGGTGGATAAATAAATAAAAGCCTAATTATACCCGTTATATTTTTTGGCATTTCTAGTATGCTCTAGGGGGTATTCTATGCTATCTTTCACACGGAACTGATACATAAGCATCAGGTGAAGACATTTTTTTTAATTTTTCACCATATCCGGTGATGTCCATCCTTGAACCAATAGTTATTCATGAAGCTAAAGTTGTTTTTTTTTTACTAAATTCAGCACTTTTCAGTTGTTTGCAAAAAAAAAAAAATGGGTAAAATGTAATAAAATGTTCAAACAGTTGCACAAATCCGTCACAAAAATTGGATGAAATACCAAAACTGAACTCTGTGATATGCTCAAAGAATTTATTCATCCATCATGTTCAGCCAGAAGTCGGCGGTTCCAAGGCTTTCAGTGGCCTCTGTGCAACGTAGGCTCGTGTGCTGTGAATATCCGATGTGTGCGCGAGGAGAGTTGCCGGAATCGTAGAGAAGACAGAAAAGTACATTCATACAGTTTCAAATAATTTTATAAAGATTTCATAGAATGATTTGCTAATTGTTTAAATGGCAATGACCATAACCATCATTTAAATCTCATCGTAAGTTAACTATAAATGTTTACAAATAATTCATTTTTTTCTTGATTTCATTATAGGTACCATTCCTGCCTTAATCAATCTATTGAAAGGCTCCAAAATAAAATTACAGTGCAAGACAGTCGGGTTGTTGAGTAATATCTCGACCCACGCCAGCGTCGTGCGAGCTGTGGTGGAGGCGGGGGGCGTCCCGGCCCTGATCCACCTGCTGGCGTCGGACGAGCCCGAGCTGCACTCCCGCTGCGCGGTCATCCTGTACGACGCCGCTCAACTCGAGAACAAGGACGTTATTGCCAGATGCGTGAGTTTCCTCGAGAATCTCCCTCTGCCGGACGATTCCCTTCTTGGGAAGCTGGGCAGGTGCACGCCCGTGTCACCGTGCCCGGCGGACTCCGGGGGCGGGCTCCGGGCCGGAGGACGGCGGCGGGGACCCGACCTGCCCCGGCCCGCGTGTGCCAGAAGCGGCGCCCGCGCCCCCCGCG